TACTAACTAAAACTAACGTAACGTAAAGATAGATTAGGCTGTCATATATTAAAAAATAAAAGCCCGCTCTTATCATTATCTGTTTTTCTAGTATGTTTGATTTTTAGTGCAGAGTTTGAGTGCGATAGTTCACTAGAAATTTGTCATTTTTGTGGAACTCTTTATTGAGTATTCGAGTAAGAATTATTTGGTTGGAACTCTGTTGGTATTCAATATTGAATGGAGTCCAATTCCACAATTCACGAACTGAATTTGCGCGTTGTTCATGACTGCAATGTAAAAGAGTATGCTTGAAAATATTCGTAAAATCATATATAGGTACGTGTACGTTTATTGTTATAGGACGCACGTATTTGGATGGAAATATATAGAAAAAAACCAATGACAACACGCTGTTAATGCCGGTTCAATACCCGCCGGTGTCGTATTTTTTTCAGTCAAAATAGATTTTTAACTTAAAAATCACATCATATAATATTTGAGTCGATACCAAAAACCCAAAGCAGTGATCAGGGAACACTCCCTTCCTCCGCAGTAATTAAAGAGCCAACTTAATTACGGTGGACCCTTAAAATAGTAGAGAAATTCCAACCTAAAGCTGAAACCCGTTAAGCTTAAATTCGACTGAGGCTACTTTCAATACAAGTATGTAGTCTGCAAAACCTGTGTCAGGTGTAAACGCTTTCCTGTGATTTTTAGGAACTTTTCGTTTTTGTTAATGTCACCGATGGGCTATTGCCGTTTATTTGGAATTGGTGGTTAGCCCCGGATTCATGGTCTTAATTCCAAGGAATTTGTTAACATAGGACTTGTCCAATTTTAATTAGACGCTGCGTAAAACAAGCAAACAAAAGAAGTAGAACCAATATATATTTAAAGAATACGACACTTACGCTGTAGTCGCTTCTTTATTTAAATACTTTCCCAGCAAGAATTTGTTACCCTTTTCCCATGCAGGAATTTTTAATAAAATGTCGCCTGGCATTCTTGGATTACGCTAAGACGCGTGAAAAGACTACATTGTAAGTAAATATTCTGATATATAGAGGATGTATATGTCACAGAAGGTCTCGAGTATATACAAGATTTGTCTGTAGTTTACGCGAGTAGTACGCGTTGAAAAGAGACACAAAAAAAAAAAGTCACTACCGTAGAAGATTTGACTTGGAATTTAGACATACCCCCCATGCTTAGGCTCCCCGTAACGATTACTGCGTAGCGCCTAAAACGATTAGTGAACTAAATATATGTCGCGTTTTAAAACATAAAAATGTTTTATTTTAAACGATCTTTATGTATACGAGTATTACCTGATATACTAACCGTACTAAATTTTATCGGATTGATGTCAATTTCGAAATGTGGTTCAATTCGTAACTGAATAGAATATAAATTTCTTATTTTCTTTGAGTTTCGACAACTTATTTAAAGCCTCATTTAAAGATAATGCGATCAAAACGCGTTGCCACTTACCACCACGTACGAATCGTTCACGACGGCGTAGGTGAATTCTGTTTGTTACTTATTAGTATTTGTGTTTAATATCCGTGTAGGCTTTGTACGTGTCGTGGGAGGCGCAGGTATGGTGAACGCCGGAAGCGACGTAGGTCCACATTATTAGCGGACAATGTCTTCAGTTAGCTTCTCTTTTAGGGAGTTCCTTACCTCTATCTGCTAAAAGAAACAAAAAACATGAAAACATTCGCCAAGACTTTAAGGTTTGCCCATGAAAAAAATTGCTATGGGTAAAAAAGTACGAGTTAAGTATAACAATTGCACTATTAATCATTTCTCTCTTGTACGTTTTTAATTCTCTTTACGTTACGTTAGTGCGCATGTATTATTTAATATATATTAAATAGCTCTTCTTGTAAATTGTGGCATAGACAACGCGAAGCTCGCGTGTCATCAAATTGACATTTAATTTCCGACTCGACTTATGCGTATCTGCTCGTACTCTGCTTTGCGCCAATGTCTCCGACATTTGTTGTTCCGGAATATCGAAATCGGGTCATCCGAGTCCAAATTCATGCTTGCTGAAGAGGGAAGGTATTTATCAGGAGACTTTACAGGTTCAGATCTTGTTGGCGATCTCTATAATTTTACAAAATTACGTTTTGAATGCTTTGCAGCAGCCGTGCTTACGGGGGGAATTAACTAATACGTTTCGCGTTTTAAACAGTAAAAATTGTTTTGTTCAAATGTGTACTACTCCCCTAAACTAGACATTATTACAGAATAATGGTCAAGAATGGACAGTTATGTACAGTGCCACTCCATCGCCAACATAGCAGTACATGTATGTGCCACGTCCTAATTCCAAAGAAACATTTGTCAGTACAAAATATCATCGGAAAACAAATTAAATCAAATGTTAAAGCAAATTAGATAACGACGCCATATCCACATTGCTCCGCTTTTGGCGAACTCCAAAGGACTTAAAATGGGTCGCAGAGCCTCAGAACGATGCTTTAACGAGCGACACACAAAAATGTCATTAAATTACGCGGAAAACATAACATTCACAAAGGCAAAGGATAAGAGCGAGGGCTGTTCCACGCGAGAGAGAGTATCGTGAGGGGTAAGGCTCAAATATGATTCGCCCTGCTTTTGTTCGTGTAGTTTCATCATATGGGTGTCAACGAAGTTACAAAACAATTCTATATGTCAACTATTGAGGTAATTAAGTTACGACTCAAATAATATATAAGCCTCTGTTACTAGATCAAAAAGAAACTAGTCAAAAACTTCAACGCAGTACTCTAAGTTCTAGAGTTTCCTCGCAATGATTTTAAAGCGGTTTCCCCGCAGTGCCTCGGGGGCCGTTAGATCAGTCTATGCCCCGAGGGGCTCATTGCGACGGTCACTTTATTGGAAAACTAGAACCTTAAAAAGCGCGCTCAGTTTCAAAAAAGTTATTGCATTCACTCTTCTGGTCTTGTGGTAAACGTAAAAGTCTTATTTGTCCGACATTGAACGCAGCTTCAGTGCGCGGCGGATTTACATAGAGAAGAAATATTAATATTGCTTAAATTACTAATAAGTATCACTTTCCTTTCAACGCGAGTATTGAGTAGTGTTTAATAGCCACAGTCAAAACAATATCTGTCAATTAAAAGACCCACTGTTTACAAAATCGCTGTGAAATAGTTGGGCAAATTGTGAGGCGAGTGTAAAATATTTGATAACCGCTTCTCTGACGTCAGTTAATGGATTTTCAATGTTCGCTCACATTTCGTTCGTTACCGGTAATTTGATGGGTCTGCATAGTTTCGACGTTTTAATCAATATACAACATCGATTACAATCACGCTTAACAAAGCATGTCACAAAGAGTCACTTTCGTTAAATGGATAGACCCTGACTTTGCAAGTTTCATGACTTTACTAGGCTTGCAACACAATTAACATTTGCGCATTAAGGTTCAATGTCCTATGCTTTGTAGCTTAAGAAAATCTAAGGGGGAGGTTGATTGAGAACATTACAACAATCACACCAAATTCAATTTTAGCGCTAAAATCTGTCTAGTTTTGCCGAATATTCGGCTATTCGGTCGAGGGGCTCAGCGAATCAGAATATAGTTTCAAGTCTAGATTTTACTAAACCCACATTACGCCGTCTCGAGCTTTCACTTTGGCTTATAAAATTGCCCCATTTACAAGAATAGATTCAACTCTGTTGTACTCGAACGGCATAAAAATATTCCCTGAATGTAAATAAGGAGTTAGGGCGTAACCTCGTTCTGGAAGAGCCGCGCGCTTCAGCGCTGGAGAGTTAAACTAGGTTACAGGGCTTAGTATTAAACGGAGTTAGAGAGTAGGTAACTGGATAACTTTGAAAGGTACGTAATTTAATGTCGACGGTTCTTCTCTATAGGGGATATATATACGTCCAAACAATTTCGACTTATTTCAAATATTATCTACCTAGAAACTGGTTAATTAAGTAAGTAATATATGTGGTGTATAACCTAATTAAATTGACCCTGTCACACTCAAGAGGAAATAAATAGTTCACAATTATGTACATAATTAAAACTAAAAAAAGATATAATAGATTCCAACTGGAGCTGATTTTTATGAAGTGGGGACGGAAACTTTAATTATCGTTGTCCCGAATGGTTTTATGAAAGTCTGTAGTGTACAGATTGGCCTACATAGCGAGTTTTCATCTTGGACGAGTAGCGGTAAACAATGGTAAATCGGACTAAACGATCCCGGACGCGCTGACCTTAATCCAACTTTGCGTCTCCCTGATTGAAACTAGCCTTAATGAAAACTTACCACCAAATAGCAATTCATTGCGTTACAGTTATATATTTTTTTAAATCTTTACATGCATATATATTAATGTCGATTGACAAAACCAGTTTTAACGAAATTACTTTTCAGTGCTCTGTGAATTGGAGCTGTAGGTTTTAATAAAGGCTAAATCTAGATTTTAAGATTGTATGTAAGTGTTAACATCTTTAAAAGCAACCTCTTATATTTCGAATCGGTAAGTAAAAATGTAGAACGTTAAATGTCTAACGAATCAAAAGAAAATAAGAACTAAATTGACACACAATCGAATGTAAACCCTACGAAATAGCAGGATCTCGAAATGGGTTCTACCTTATAAACCCTTCAAATCGTATCGGCTTCCAATAGGAATAACCCACTTTATTCGGAGCATATTCGCCGGCGAGTGAGAATTACTTAAGGAAAATCTTCACGCGGGGCCTTTCCTGATCAATTTGCTCTCTATTCAGTACATCGATTCTATTTGTGTTTGAAGCGATTCAATTCTACGACGTGCTGAGCAGCACTTTGGGCCTTTTCGCTTACGATTGAAAACTCCTAAGTGTATGTGAAAAAGATGTGTGATTTTCAGTAATACTAAAGTGCTGCACATTTGTGTATTTTTATGAACTTCGACTTACTTACTGAGGAAGAGAATTCCTTCACTTTTAAATAACACGAACTTTACCTTATTTTTTTATGGGGAAAATTTAATTTCAGTCATATAACAAGAACGGCTAGCTGGCTACCGCCTGTCGAAAGCTGGCCAGCGAAAAAAGACAACGGCCGTAGCGACGAAGAAGAAGATCTTCCATTCGGATGGGAAAAAGCGTTAGACAACAGAGGGAAACCTTATTATATCAAGTGAGTACGACGCCTCTTTTGTGTAATTGTCTGAAGAAATACGACATAATATTCGACTTAGTGTTAAAATGAAAAGGAGTTAAACTTTGTCCATTGGCAATTCCAGTCATTTAAACAAAACAACCACCTACGTAGCGCCCGAGAGCACGTCGAACGAGACGCCGCCCGCCCCCCGCGACGTGCTGCTAGAGAGACATCCCGAACTCGGTTTCGGCTTCGTCGCGGGATCGGAACGTCCCGTCCTCGTCCGATTTGTTACTGACCACTCTCCTAGCGTTGGCAAGGTTTGAATTTCTATCTATTATATATACTAATATATATAAGGTTATAATTATATAAAACATTACGCTACCACTAATAGGAGCGAAGAAACAGTGTGAAATGTGAAAAAAACACAAAATAGAATCCTTTTTTTGGGGGTTTCCGTTGCGTGCGTTTCGAAAACGGTGCAAGATACCCAAAAAATATGTATAAAAGAATCCTATTTAAATGACCAAAAAGGAAGTCCGCCACCGTATATATGTCTATCTTTTAAGATTAACTCGCAACGATGACGGGACGCGGGCATATGCGCTTTTACGCGCGACATCGTGGGTAACAGCTGTAATTTAAAAGGCTGTGGAGAATGTTTGTAAAAATAAATAATGCGATGCTAAAAAGAATGACTCCACGCGGTCGAAGTCGCAGACTAGTGCATCGTTGAAAAAGGACATTAGGAAACGAAAGTAAAACTCAACTGAGGCTTTTTAATATTTCAGTTGGAGCCTGGCGACCAAATTTTGTGCGTTAACGGGGAGGACGTCAGCTTAGCGGCGCGCGAACACGTCATCTCCGCCGTGCGGGCGTGCACCGACAAGGTCACTTTACGCGTCTGTCAGCCCGCGAGGAGCGGAGACCCAGTTCGAAGATCGGCCTTCCTGTCGGCAGCCAAGCGAGCCAGGCTGAGGCTCAGACCTCCGAGAGTACGCTTCGCGGATTCTGTGCAACTCAATGGAGCGCCGATGTATCCCGTGCGTGTATCCCCAAATTTCCTGTTTATAAATTCTGTTATCTAAATAGATCATAATAGTGGCCAATGAAGTATACTTGTGAGAGTGACATTGTATTAGCATAAACGATTATCACCGCTGTGACAACATTTTAATCACATTAGAAATTTGTAGCCAATGATCAAAACGTCTCAAACAAACAGTCTAGTCCAAAGTCATTGGCTTTTATTCCGAGCAAAATGTCTAGTACATTGGAATAGGATCGAAGGGCGTTTGCTAAAACATACATATATGATACTAACAATTTTTACTCGTTTCATGGTTGTCGTAATGAAAAATCAATATACTCAGCATTGCTTTTTCTCTATGTAATAATATCTTATTTTTTTATTTTTCAGCCTTCGGCATTTTCTCTGGGCGACTTATGTCTTCCACCGATGGCCAACGTTCTCAAAGTCTTCCTCGAAAACGGTCAAACGAAATCGTTCAAGTACGACGCAACGACCACTGTCAGCGACGTCGTCACCAGTTTGAAAGACAAACTTTGCATCTCAGCTGAGCAGCACTTTAGTCTTGTGGTCGAGCACGTGAAGAGCTTAAGAAGGAATAAATTGACGTTGCTGGACCCCAAAGAGTCCTTGGCTAGGGTATGACTTTTGTTTCAATGTTTTTTTTTTAATCTCCCACAGTTCTCAAGTGATAAGTTCAAACACAATTTAATTCTTACCAGCAATAATCAACCATTGCAGATCGCAGCGCGGCCTGGGTCCCACAAAATGCGTTGCCTGTACCGCATGGTATTCATGCCGACTTCTGCAGCGGAGTTAGCGCAGCGAGACCTAGCGGCGCTGGACTACCTCTACATGCAGTGCTGCAACGACGTCGCGCAGGACCGCTTTGCGCCCGAGTTGCAGCCGGAAGTGGCGCTGCGGCTGGCCGCCTTACACATACATCAGCATGCGCTGGCGCATAACTTATCACCGGCTAAACTCACTATTAAGGTCGTGGAGTAAGTACTGGTGTTTCAATTTGAAAATTCAATAGCTAGCTCAATTTCGGAAAATAGTGTGAGCCATACATGCATTTAGCAATAATCTGCATCAGCATTTTAAATTGCAATATGCGTGCAGTATCCCCCCCCTTTAAAAAAGAAAAAAAAACGAATATCAAATTCTAAGTAAAACACATGTAACATTCTGCCAAATAAAACTTATACATAAGTGTAATAGCAAATCACTTCAAGTAAGTGTAGCTCTTGGCTTGCAGGCGAGAATTCGGCTTGGAACGCTTCGTGCCATGTAGCCTTCTCGAGAGCATGAAGAGGAAAGAGTTGCGACGGTTGGTCGCGCACTTCTTGAAACTCAACGCTCAGATGACTGGCAGCCAAAGGCAACTTACCCAGTTACAGGTGAATTCTTTTTTTTTCATTTGCGGTGATAAGCCATCAGTGTAAAATACTTAACCTAGGCTCGACTTTCTCGTGTTATTGCGTGAGACTAAATCAATGTTGAGATGATTGTTTCATTTATACGTGTGTGTTTCCAGGCGAAATTGCATTACTTGGATATCGTCGGCGGACTACCAAGTTATGGAGCCAAATGCTTCAGTAGCAGTCGCCCGGAGCGAGTGCTTCTCGTCTCGCCGCGCTTTGGGCTGAGTCAAATCATCGGAAGAGGCAGTTCTGTGGTAAATCTACACATATTTATATCAGAGCATTGATAAATCCTCATAAAATAACACAATCATATTGTTTAAAAAGGAAAATTTAAAATTTCAGCCACAATCGATAGCGTCACTTGAAGAAGTAGAAAGCATAAGGGTGAAAAGTGAATATTGCGGCAGTGCAGAGGTGGCTGTTTTCCTGCAGAGGGACAGGGTGTTGGCACTTCTCATGGATGAGAGAGATGCAGAAGAAATGCCACTCGTTATAGCTGGGTAAAATATACGAACAACATATTGACATATTTTTGATATAATGCATTGTATAGAATTTGTTTGATACTAGATATAATTTTCAGGTATTACCAGCTTGCAACCGGCAAGGAACTCAACGTCGAGCGAGAAAGAGAAATCGTTACAGAAGATATCGGTACGCGCTGTTTTAACCTGATTAAACCTATTTAATAGTAAAATGTAAATGTGTTTCGTTGTTAACTTATTGCATATTTTCCAGCTCCACCGTATTTATCACAGCACAACGTTCTTCCGGCAAAATGGAATTACTTGCACTGTGCCGATCCCAATGTTTTGACGACGAAACACTTCGCCATATTCACCATGCCTCCGCCATACCACTCCACTCCGGAGCTGACGAAAACTCTCGACACTAACATGAACTCAAACATTGCTAACCGGAATGACAGCAACAATTCTAGTCCCATGTTAGGGTACGATAGATCTAACTTCGGCAACGATCTCACTTTCGACAAATGCAAGCCCGATAGCTATAGGTTATTCGATCCGAACGACACTTGCTTCCTAGATGATGGCATGGGCTTTGACCTGCAAAGCGTCCTATCTATGGAACTTTTAGAAAACGCCAATAACCCTCGTCTCGTCGAAGCCAAGAACGACGAAGTGCTTCGACGGGTGGCAGAAATGCAAAAACTAGTTGAAAACTCGGAACAGTATTTGACTGAAAACTGTGATGTTTACAACGAGAACGATATGTTAAGAGATGAATTAGTGGGTAGAGAGACCAGCGTAGATCAAATAGAGAGCGACACGGAGTCGTGCAATAGTAAAATGTCCGCGGCGGACGATGCGCCCGGCATATTGAAGCACAGTGACTCGTTGTTATTGCTAACTGAAACTATCAATCAGGGGCTGAGCGTGCTGAGCGCTCCCGAGGGCGCGAACGACGCGGACGATCTCACGCAGAGGCAATCGCAGGGTCTCAGTGCTATTTTGAACAACTGCGGCTTGACCGACGCGTTGTTAGCTCTCAACAGTGATATGATTTACTCCGAGAGCGACAACGACTCGTCCTACACGCCGACGAGCAGTCCGGTCAGAAAACATTCAAACAGACCGACCGGCAAAGGTGCCCGAACAAGTTTCGGCTTAGTGAGCCCGGACTCTTCACATTCACAAGACAACAAGGAGCCGAATTTGAAAGAATATTTAAAACAACTAAGAGAAAAGAGCAACAGGGAGGAGAACGCCGCGCACCTTCCTTTTTTCTATCAGGAATCACTGGACAACGACGCCGAGCTTATAGATTTAACTTTACTCCCTCCGCCCCAAACTCCCGATGAACTAGACTGCGCTTCACAAGTGCCTCAAATTCTACCAGTTGTCCCTCCATCGTTCGCGGACGACGACAAGGACTGTGTAGACGGAAATGCGTCGCAACCGAATGAGCTAGATCAATTCATCGCCAACGTTACTGTTCAACCGCCGACTGTAAAGGTGACGCCCGCCATTGAGCTCACCCCCGAGGAAATCATGTCCTACATCATACCGCCACCCCCGTCGATAGCCGCGACGCACGCGGACGCCGGAAAACACCACAACGAGAGCGAAGTGAAAGCACACAAAAACGACAAACAAACAAACAGTGGCAAGCCTGCGAACGGTGATGTCACTAAGGGAGCTAGGAGTGTTAGTGAGATTAGAAATATGTTTTCTGCAAAAACCTTAAGCGACGCTAGAAATAGTCTATTATTAAAGGATAAAACTAAGCCTCAATGCAAATCCGAGTCACCGAAGGGAAGGAGAAAGAGTGCTCCTAATGAAAAACAAGCAAACGGAACCGCACATATCATAGAATATCCGACCGTCGAAAGAAAGGGAATGTTTTCTTGCTGTAGCAAGGATAAGAGCAAAAACGAAGATAGCGATGAAACGGAACAAATAGAGGGACAGCTCTCTAATTCCGATTCCATTCCTGACGTTTGTGAAGTGAGACCGCCGCCGAGAAGGAAAAGCGCAGAGATCAAGAAACCTCCCGAGAGACCGCCGAAGACGCTTCCCGTGCCGGCACCGCGACCCCGATCAAACTCATTTACTTGTGTTAACAACGAGTTAACCGCTGTCGAAATACCAAACAATCACTTCAACACATTAAACGGCAGAAAATTAAGTTATAAAGTGGTATGTGACTCGAATGTGCCCCAACAGACTCCTCCTCAAGTACCGCCTAGAGTAGAGAACAAGGCTTTATCCCCACCTCCGGCGATCATGTTGCCTCCAAAAAAGCCCCCACTACCTCCGGTGCCCAGCATAGAAGTTTTACGGCTGAAAACTTCACAAAAAATATCTCCAGTCCGAAATACGGAGCGACACGCGAGCATCGGTTCTCCGCATTTCCAACGGAACCTCAACACGTACAGAACCCTCGAAATGGAAGGCCAATTGACTGACGACGAGTGTTCCGTTCGATCGACGCAAAAATACAGCTCTCTAACACTGCAGAACCGTCACGTGCGTTCCAACTCGGAGACTAAAAGTACAATCCTGAGGAACAAGGAAATGACTGGTCTGTCGTTGTGTTCACCGCAAATGAATAGACGATTCAGCAATCGACCCGATCTGCTGAACGGCGCGCCGTTCGGGGACCGCCGAATATGCAGTCCTCCCCTCTCGGAGAAGAAAGCCCTCGGAACGGACGCTTCGAACCCCGGATCTAAGACGCAAAACCATCACGTGAGATTCAAAGACGAGGTGGTAGACGATATTCCGACTCCCCCATCGCCCCCGACGGTGAAATTTCCAGAGTTCAATGCGGGCAATAATGGACACGCGTCTATAGAGAACCTTTTGTGTAAGACTGAGGTGGCCGTCGATGGTCTACTGCAACGACTGCATCAGGTGGCGCAGAAGTGTTCTCACCAACACTCCCACGGAGGCGGAGAGGACATAGATGAAGGCAAATTCCAGGTAAATACCTTTACTTTACCGTTCCATCATAAATTAAAAGTGAACTAGTGTCCTTAGTAATTATAATATTGTGTAGTAATAGGTCGGTTTTGAGGGGCTATAATGGCAGTCATGTATGGATAATAACCAATAGGGGTCGTGGGTTCGGTCTCCGTCGGGTCCAACATGTAGAAAGCCCAATAGGGCGATAAGGCAGACGTTGTATGGCTGGGATCTTTTACTTACTTATAAACAATAGGTACGAAAAGGTGCAAAAATATGTCTATGTCCCCTATGTCTTCGAGCAGTTCTTTGAATACTACACCATTAATACTTTAAACCGTGACCACTTTGCTTTTCATTCGTAGCGCGCCCGTAGCGAGTTAACATCGTGCGCGGTGTCTCTGGTGGGAGCTTCGCGGACTCTAGTAGGTGCTTTGGGATCGACGAGCAGCTCTACGGCGGCCGCTTCCTTGGCGGACTGTTTAGGTCCACTGAGGAGATTAGCCGACTTAGCTCAGGTACTTTCAAACTCGCGCTGTAATTTGTGATGCATCCGCTTCACAAAATGGATTATAGACATAGCCTAACTCATTTCTGTCCCCAGGCGCTCGGGAGGCACACGTCCTCACCTCTCCAGACTCGGAACCTCGTTTTGCGCGTGCACGATGTCACCGCCGCCTTCAAAGAGCTGGCCGGGGCGGAGATGGCACAAATTATACACGAGCATAACGCGAAAGCGACGCGAGGCCAAGAAACCGATTCCACTTTGGAAGGGCAGTTGGCCCTTCGCGCAGAATGCCTGGCGAACGTTCTGGCGACTCTGCTCAGAAGCCTCCGAGTGTTCTCACCGTGATCGCACGCCGCAGATGTAATCAAAATCAATATTAAAGTATTTAAAGAATACTATAAGTTAAGAGTATAAATATAATTTTTATAACCGTTACTAAACTGAGACCAAATAAAGTTAGGTAATTATAATTGTATGATTTTTTATAAGTTGAGTTGTAGTTTTGTAAATTTTAACATGTGTTATATTATTGTTGAATTAAACGATCTTCTTTTTTAACGAGGCCTAAGAACCAAATCAATACAGCAATAATTCAAGGTGAATGGCGTCGATTAATTTCCCAAATAAGAACCGAGTATATAAATAAGTACGTACGTAGTAGGGTTACGAGAGCAGTCTTCCGTGATTTCGTCACAGCGTCGTGTCGAGACGTCGATTAACCAGTATTGATAATGTTGATTTAGAGGCGTTACCATAGTGATTAAATACCTGTATAACATATCTAATATTACCATTTATAATGTAAATAGTATATTTTCTAAACTTTTATCGTCGCCGCGGGCAGACGGAGGACACTTCATTTCATTTCAGTCTCAACTTAGCCCCAATGGAGTTATTTTTCGAACCTTTAATGTTGAAATACATTCGTGAATTCGAATAGGTATTATTTTAATTACTTGTTTATTTATTTAGACTATACGATCTAACAAAACTTTTGTGAGGTTTTTAACCGAGCAGAAATATTTTAAGATAACTTCTATACCTACTATTCATTTTAACGTCGAATTCGCTATTAATGATAATATTGTCACATTTATGAGCGGTTCACTCCAGACTTGGTGCTATTTAAAATGGGTAAAAACAGTTCTGCGCCGCATTACAACGCACTCGTGGTTTCAATAATGATTTTGCTTTTTAACACGTAAAGGAAACATTAAAACCTGCCTAGTACAACTAACTTTCTCTTAACTCATGTCCCACTAGTAGCCAAAGACCTCAATCCTAGCTGGGTTTATGTACTTTTCGTATTTTGTACGACGATTCTCGTTAATTCCCTTTAATAATTTTGTTACCTGCGTTAAGTGTTTAGAAAATTAATATCACTCTGATAACATATATACATTAGCAATACCTTTCGGGCAAGCTTATATCGCAGTAGTATCTACTAAATCTATATGTATACTACCAACTAGGTATATCATTTTATTGCATCTTAAGAAAACGTTATAAATATATCAACACAAAATTATGACAGCTATCTATTAAAAAATAATCGCTATAATATACAAATGGTGACTTAATCGAGGTAATATAATATATAACTCCAATTTATTTATTGTTTAAAACATCGAAATGCCCTGCATTTGGGGAATAAAACTCTTTGAAACACATCTTCGTTTTATTAAATTGTATCCATGTATTTATATTTATCTTAGTTTTAGTTAAAATAAAATGTGGGAACCATTTTAAAACTAATATTTTGAGGGTAGATGCTCGGTACGATGGCCAAATTACTTCAACGCGTGCTAGCTGTCACTTAATTCCGTCACTCGCGTTGTTCCGAAATGCTGAAATAGTTTTTATTCATGTGACTGTCAATTGTGAATTGTAAAGTGTGTTGTAATTGTAAAACTACTTTGCTATTGAAAAGAAGCTTTCGTTATTATTATATTCACCCTTTTACGGACGCCGTTATTCCAACTACAAAGATACAAGACGGCCACTCAAACCCAAGGTATGTACTCACGGAATCTAAATGAACCATATGTTTTTGGCCCTATGTACGATTCTTCAGTATGGTCAATACAATATAGTTAAATAGACCCTAACACCGGGCAAATCATTCGTGAGCAGCCATATCTCTTAATTAAGGTTGAATAATCCCCACATTCCAGTATTCTAGCTGCTCAATAAAAACTCAAAGTTTATTACGTTGCATTGCGTTTGTCATCAGGATGCACGGGAGTGGATGTTCACACGATCCTGCGCATGGACAGGTCTCGGCGCAAATAGAAAAATAGGACTAGCTCTAATCGTGAAGTATGTGGTTCTGTACAGTATTCCCTTGTTTTGTACAATTTATTTTCATTATCCTTATGTCTTGAAAATGTCGAGTAGTTATCATTGATACTTGGCAGACATTTAAAGTCCTGTGCTTAATTAAGTGGCGATCAAAAGGAAACTAATATAAAGACTCGTGAAAAACATCTAAAATGTCGATAATCCCTTTTGAGTTGGAGTTACCCATACGGATCTCTAAAATATCCAACGAAAGATCTGAGTAACGAGACAGCTAGATGACCAGAAATAGTGCAATTATCGCGCTTCAATCCACGGACTGCGATACGCTTGGCAGACAACGTTGCTATAATCTCAGCGCTTACAAGCTTTGGCTTGAAGCTAATTCGTTTGTCTGTACTTTTTATATTAGCAAAATTTAAAAATAATAGAAATGTAAGCGTCCTTTGATTGTACATGGGCGTAAAAGACAAAAAGTATTATATTAACCATTATTAACGCAATAGTATTCAAATCAATGATTTTTTTATTCTTTTCGTTTGTAGGTTTACAGACAAACCGTTTTACGTTTGTGCATGCTAATCTCAGAAAAAGCTGTTCTAATAAAGATGTCTTCAATAAGATATTGCGATAACATTTGGTTTATGGCAATCGGTTTATAAATAAAAAAGTTATGCTAATTTAAAGAATCGCGGCTAATTTGCGTTTAGATTACACTTAGTTAAGGATAATTTGTTTACTGTAACTCTGTAAGAGTAACATTTTAATCAATAACATATTCTATGCTGGCTTCATTTGTTGTCAAGTTTGTTTGTACATAAGGTTATGAAATCATTCATGGCATTAATGAAATCTCTCTGTGACGTAGTTTTAGCAAAGTTATGTCCTCTTATGGTAAAACGGTCGTCGATTGTAGCGAAGCTTGAAGTGTACACAATTATTAGGTTTGGATGTTTACAAATAAGGCGTAAAGTTTGCTGAACTCCTACATGTCTATAGACCAGTTCGCTGTCAATAACTTGACACAAAGTATTCAATTAAACATCATGACGCCATCCATTAGTAATATGAGAGCCGGTCACCAGATAGGGCAACTGCATACCTATACTTATAGGGGGTTGAAAATTACAACATCGGTTCTGATTTTTCATGACTTTTGGTGAATAAGTACATACACAACACGTAATATAAATTAATCACAATTTCCAATTACAACATCAAATCAAATCAAATATTCACAATAAAGAAATGTGCACTAGTTTATAAGTGCATTAAAAAAAAATTCAACGTTATTTTAATTCTACCGTGATATCTGCCACCACAACTTCGACTGTGGACAATGGCGGAACCATAAAGATTTATGCAAAGTGTCACTATAATCCATCATTATATAAAATTTATTGTATAATTTTATTTTTCGTGTTGACATTCGATTGTTTACTAAAATTATCTTTTTATCTTTTATTTCTACATGCAAAGGTTGCCTGAAAGAAATCGCCATAGGCGATAAGGCCGCCTAAGTATCTATGTTCTTATGTCTATGTTTGTGCAATAAAGAGTTTATTATTATTAATTTAATCTTTTAGTATAGATATTATATACGTTACAACTAAACTTCGCTTATTAACAGATAGTTTATTGAATTACAGTGAAATGATCGTAATGGTTGCAAAAAAATAATCGTTATAATCGATACAATAAGGTGGTGGCATGCCATTTGTGTGTCACCGGTTCGTCATATTTAATTCGCCTACGTTAGTATACAGAGTAATGAATTTAACGATAAAATAAAATAAATATATTCACTTATTTTATACTGTAAAATAATACGCAACAATTTTTTCTGTACATACTTAAGATGAGAAATCAACCTCCATTTCAAATGAGTTGAGTCAACTCAAAGCGATGTTTAATCAAATGAGCAAGTATCAAAGAAGATGAAAACCGAGGCTAGGTTCAAAATGGACAAGCTTTAAAATTCGATACAAAAGCAGAAATTTTCCACTAATAATAAATTATTGGAACTAACGAACTCTAACGAAGAACTACTCTGCACAAATTGCATTGTTATGGTGAAAAGGTTACATCGCGCTTCAATTAATTAAACTTCAAATGCCACAATGGGGTCAGTAGCACCGATCGATCTCTGGCCTTTAACGACCAGAAAAACCGTAATTAGTAATAGAAAAACATATCGAAAACTGTTTATTGTTACATTTAGACAAGACAATCGGATATAATGTTTTGTCTATATAACTTTATATAATTTAAATAAAACACTTTAACGGTTTAAAACGCGATATATTAGTTAAACTTATTTGGAAATGATTTTTAACTTCGGCCGACGTTTCGGATGCTTTGCAGCAGCCGTGGTCACGGGGAGACACAATAAGTTTAACTAATATATCGCGTTTTAAACCGTTAAAGTGTTTTATTTAAATGTGTACTTACTACTCGCGTAAACTATAGACAGTATTTAACTTTATATAATAATTAGCATGTAAGTAAAACAAATGGAAAAGGTTGGAAAAATGTAAACATTTCCCGTATGACAAGGAATAATATTCGGTTTAGCGTTTTGTATTGTGCGGAAATCCTATGTTTATTAATAAATGTACCCAAATAATCGTCGAAAATCTTGTAAATTTTCCCCCACTTCACCGTAAACTCCTTACCAGTTTTAACAAACTATGCACTCGCATGCACCTACCTGCTATAGGTATGTTATGTAATTAAAAGTATTATATTTAAGCAATCGTAATTTAAGACTCAGCATTTGTTGCTAACGACTCATTCCAAACTATGCCCACAATATAAAAACTAAGGTTCTTTAATAATATAGATTTATTTTTTAATATCGAGATTCTGTTTATATCCGGATTGGATCTAGTTATCACAATAAGTTAGTTTTAAGACCTCCTTAGTTTTCTTGAATCCACGACATAGACGTGCTCAAGTGTGGGGACTAGGGACACAGGGTGTAAACCAGAAGTGAGTTTTTTTATGTATCTTATGAATGTCATTTTGAATTCGAATCGCTTGTGTCAGTAAAACGAGACAAATATAAATTAATGAGTAAAATGATTTTTCCCAGCTCTATTTTGTGCAATAAGTCATTGATAGGTTCCACGCAGAGGCGGGCGCGGCGCACGAGTGCAACGTACCGCTGATGCGAGTCGAGGACCGGTTTCTAATCGTTTTGCTTCCAATCCACCCGAGAAAAACTTAGAATAAATGCATTTGTGCCCGGCGACACGTTACCCACGAGACTTTTAACCGGCCCGCAGATGAGGAGAGCGTTCTCGGCGTTCGTCCGTTTTGTTCATCTAGAATCAGGCTGATGTCCAGAGGAATACCTCAATCATGATAACTCATCAAAAGCTTACTCATTATTGGTGGACTATGCTAATTCTATTTTAAATTAATCTTATTATGTAGAGCTTAGCAAAGGCGTATTCGTATGAAAACACACTTTCAACGCCAAAATAATTTAGTAAATTTAGTAGTGGAATGCGTACCATTTTTCTCTAACCTATTGACTCCGAAATTAAGGTATAATCCGACCAGCTTAATCTGAATGAGATTCACGCGTTCACTTTTTAACAATATATTAAGGGATGTTAAAATATCCCTCAGTGTAACATTTGTGGTCACCCGATCGCAGCTAGAACTCATAGAACAAGTCTCGGTAGGTAGGTACCCTAAGACGTGTCTAATAATGTAAGAGTCGTTTAATACTTCCAAGATTCTCACGGGGCCCTGTTTAAACTTTTTTAATCGATTAAGCACAAGTCAGTTTCTATTAAGTTTTAGCGAGAATTACCAAGAAATGTAGGGTTTGAGTAAAGATCGACACAATTCGTATTAGATGTAAAGAATGTGGAACTTTATTTTAGTTTAAGCGTAAACACAATATTGTACGTTACATTATATCAGTGATTTTTCTGATGCCTTTTCATGCATATTTATATGTATACATTAAAATGGTACATAGGAAACCTTCAAGTCTTTGAAGCTAGAGGACTACATGCATACGGCGCCTTATACTCACCGGCGGTTGGCGTTGGTCAGTGAAGTACTTTCGCCGAAGCACGGCATTTCTCCCCAAGGACAAACAAACCTGTCTCGTTTTGACGCGCCCGACCGCTCCCGCATTATATTACACTAATGTTATTATTACTTAACTTGATAATTTGTCAAAACCACGACAGCTTTTGATAGATTTAAAAAGACGAAAATTTTCGATGCGTTTCAAAGTTTGTTTCGATTCTCGATCACATTATATCATGAAATGATAGACTTCGGCCATTTTTTTCCAAATAATTTCTGTTCGATAGTGTGTAGATACCAATTACATTGGTAAGAGGCTGGTTCACTTTTTAGCCACGATGAGGCGATATTAAATGACATAAAATAAAGCATAGAGGTACATAAAATTGCAATCACGACGCCTTCCGATGCGAGAGCCACCATTGCCTTCAATGCGGCGAAGATGTGGTACCTCGAAGTTGGAAAGTGGTATATTCCTCGACGTACGAGCTATTTTAGACTCTAAAATAACGAAAGAAGGTTTCCTTAGTGAGCGGGTACGTTGCAGGCATAGGGCCTTAGTCGGCGGAGTCGTGGGCTGGTCAATAACTGTGGTAGAGCAAAAACGCTAGCAGACTGAGACGACATTCCGCGGTGGGCTCTGCAGGGCACATTAGGCCCAGCTCATGTTAGAATGCCTTTCGATGTGGTATATGAACAGAATTTTTATTTGATGACGGTGAATTCGGTATAATTGCACGCTAATTTTGGTCGTCTAACTTAAAAATGTTTTTGCGAAGAAATACCACAGTTCGTGAATAAAATCACTGAGATCAAGTTGTTTTATACATACCGGCCGCTGCTTTGTGCCATATTTTATTATATATATGTATTACATAAACACTTTATTATAGCATACTAAATAAAAGCCATTAGATTCGCCTACCATAGACGACGAAACACATACTTACAATTGAGATTATATTTGCATGCCTTTGAGGGGTTGCCTATACTTCCTTAATTAACTGACATACTTTATCTACTTGCATTGTCTGTGCTAATAACATGAAACGATTGCATGCGAAGCTCTAAGAGTCTATCGACGACATTTTACTTCTTTTGTTTTCTTTGCATTGCATCTAATGCATCAGGAATGGTGCGCCATCCATATATGGGACATGTCAATTTATTGAGCGCAAGCGCAACACTGGTTCCCACTGCCAATATGGCGGACAACGACGTCACTTTTTGCTTTAACGAACATTTAGTTTATTACACCTAGTTATCTACCATGTTACATTGTGTTTCTTAAAATACTATTTATCTGGAAAACGACTAAGCTTATTATTTGTCGTGTCGACGTGTTTTTATACTATCGCTGTAATTATTACCATAATTCGAAGTAAAATTCGAAGTAAAATCAGCGTAAAGTATATATGTCTTATAAAAATACAATTTTTTTTTTTAAGAGTAGAACAAGAAGCGTTGCGTTTACCTTAAGAAACATTTAATACCCCAGCCATGTAACATCTCAACAAGATGTGCTGTCGATCTATTTTTGCTTTGGATATTCGCAACTGCTACATCTACATTGTGGTCAGACACCCTTTCTAGTCTGTAAAAGACACGACCAACGGTGCTAACCACCCTATCGTTTAAGCGATCGCCATTTTGTTCTATGTGGAGTCAGTCCCACTACCTTTCTCACGTTCGACTATAATTAGACGCGCAAACTGGCGGTTATCACAATAAGAAAAAAATAATATAAATTGTAGAACCCTAGTTCGTAATCTACGTTGCATAGGTCGACGTAATTTCAGTGCAACAGTTCATATCTTCACTCTGTATGTGAGCGAACGAAACAATACCGAGACAGACGCTTACGACTAAACATTTTAAAAAGGCTTTAAATATCAGAATTATATATTGTGTATATTAAAATCAATGGCTACGATTTAAACTCGCTGCTTTTAAATCAGAGAGTCACTAGTCAGTCAGTTATGTACATATGTAATTAAGCAAGTAAGCTAGATCTGGAATCAAGTTACTGAGCAAAATATTTTTTCCTCTGAACCCGATAACTGTGTTATAATAATTTACACATATTAATATGTGATTAATACAATAGGACGTTCTTTCTTTTAGAAATAATAATTATAACTCACTTTAAGTGAAAGAAATTGAACATTGACGTTGATAATGTATAAATTTTTTTTTACTTTTTTCTTAAGTCCATGAACACATGTTAGTAATAAACTTTCTGGCCTTAATACAATTTGTAATTTAATTATTAAGAGAGAGATAATAAACATATTTTTATTTTTTTATTTTATGAACATATAGAGAAACACAGCTAGGGCAATTAGAATGTTAAGACGATAAATGTAATGGTAAATATATATTTCTTAAGAATTCTCTAAAAAATTTATTCTGAGTTTAGCGGTAGAACACAATCCAACAAAACGTTAGTACTTTGGTATTGTTTTTGATATAAATTTAATTAATTCTAATTAAATTATTCGCAAAGAGCTTTCATTTAAGTTAAGTTCAATAGTTCTTAAATGAAGGTCGATAAAATGTATACTTTTAAACCGTCTCCAAGGAATGAGGTACATTCTCAATTATGTATCATGCCTTTTACTTTTGACTTTCTGTAATATTGAAGTCTTAAAGAAAAACATCTATATCGGTGTCGACATTATTTTATTTATATCAACGTCTAAAACGTTAAAAGTCGTTATTGTGACTTAAGGAAATTATCTGCTTATTAATATTGTACAATACACTTTTGTCCTATTGATGATGATTTTTTTACATCTTTACCAAAGTTTTAGAATGTTCCATTACCTTTTTAACAATTAATGCAGCCAATGTTACTAAAGACAAACAGTTTTTCGACAGATTATTTTTTTTTAATGTCCTGTTTTTAAAAATTAACCATAAAAAATCTATTTATATCAAAATCTTGTCAGTCACAAAAACGCATAAAATACAAAATGTTTTTTCCATAAACAAAGGGGTGATTCTTATTTTATACATCTTTCTTCTAATCTATATTAATATTATAACGCGAAAGAGTTTGTTCGAACGCGCTAATCTAAGAAGCCACTGGTTCGAAATGAAAAATTATTTTTGAGCTGGTTAGAGTATTTATCAACAAAAGCCTTAAGCTATAACATTTTACTACGACCAATGGGAGCGACAAAACAGAGGGAAATATGAAAAAAAAAACGCGAAAAATGTTTTCGCCTTTGTGGGTTTTAAGATATGTATAGAACATTTTTGAAATTTTTTAGATCAACTTTTTTGGACCTTTAAGATCAACTTGCAGAAACGACGAGACGCCGAAGAAGTCGCTGGCGCAGCTAGTGCCTAGTATATACCTGATTATATAAGTTTCTTGATCTATATAGAGTGAGAGGAGATTTAAAACAGATGATGTTCTAATACACATTTCCCAACTTGTTTAACAAGTAAGAACCGTTCTCTGATAAGCTGCCAGGTAAGTCTAATCGCACATTAAGATATTAATTTCCTTATATACGAGAACGCCTATGTTGGATATGCCGTGTTCTTAAGAACACAATAAAAGTTGGAGATGTAACAATTTGCAAATAAGAGGTACGAAGCGTTACATCCCTGGTGACACGAAGCACATAAGTCTAAAAGTTCATTTCGTTACGTCCGGCGTAATTACGTGGCTAACTATGTAGACAGCGACATTACTAGCCAACGGAGTAGCCAGGGAATGGTCCCGACTTAGTTTTGACTAACTTTGAACGCATTTACACCGTCGCGTAACCTCCACTCGCCCTGCAAGGAATGGGGCTTTCGCGCGTCCGTTTCGCTGATTGATATTCTCTACAGGTGGAGCTTACCGGGTAAGGCTTCTTTGCCCTGCCGGACCCAAAGAATTTTCCGTTTCCCTTGGCTTCGCGGATCCCGGAAAACCGGAAACCCGGGCATCGCTATTAACCATCTTCCATATTGCCCACATTATTGAGAGAGAACTCGGCTAAGTGATAGGGAGGAAGAAAAGGTCGTGGATAAACATAACTCGAGTCCGATCAGCGACTACCGTGCCGGGTCACTGAGCCTCCCGACCTCTCTTCGACTAGAAGAAAACCGAAAAGCCGAAAAGTTGCTGCATTCTCGTGATAACATCCTTCAGCAATGAAGGGTGTGGATAAAAATTATATAGTATAAGTAATTAATTTAAAACTATATTATGAAACAGCAAATAATAAAAAATAATCGAATTTAAGTAAAAAAAAGTAAAGAATTGATAACTGAAAAGACGCTACCTAAGCGGCAACTATTATTTATGTTATTAATGGAAAATGGAAGCACAACTTTGTAATAGTTGCGCAGTTTGCCTCTGTGTTTTGTGTACTTAGGCGTTACACACACGAGCATACCTCTACGTGAGAGCACATAAACGCACACAGAGCGACGGCGGGCAACGTCCCTAACTCGAAGCGACCAATAGTTATGTTTTATTTATGCTTTCTTAGTTCTCGGGATGTGGGAATAATCGCGTTTGTGAATATTTTTTTTCTTATAATATATAGAAATGCTTGCGTGCGACTCTACGTTTACCAAAGTTAGATTCCATTCTAGCTAGAATATTAATTGATAATAGCTTGAGCTATTTTATAGTACTAAGGCTACTCCAAATGTTAACAAAATACCTATTTTGTACTACATTTTAAAAAACGCACTCGGTTTAGGTAATGTAAATTAGAAGCTTGTTGGGAAATTTTTCTAACTAGATTTATCGTATACTGCGTTTTGTCTAACGTTCTTAATAGCATTACGACTGTGTCTGCGACACGTCTTCAGAGCTGTACCGATGTGTGGGGGTGTGTGCTTGTGAGCGTCGCAGGCGCAGGTAAGCGGGATCGACGCGCGGGAAAAGAGGCGTCTATTTTGAAATATGAACAATAATTTAATAAATAACCTCTTAGTAGAATCCTAGTGGATTAATCTTCTACTGAATAAGACTCGCAAAAAAGCCGGAGGCACAAGGCACAAGGCACGTTCGAGGTATGGTGTCTCTATACATGTTACGATAGTTCAGATTTAGAGACAACCTAATCTTTTATATGTACCTAGCATATAAAAGATTAGGTGTAAATTTTGCCATTGTTTGCCACGTTTTATCACACTATTCGTAGCACTAAGTAGCGCCAAAATCTCGCGAGTAATAAATTATGGGAAAAAAAGAAAGGGGTGCGCGCGCGGCGGTGTGGTGACGTAATTTCTCTGGCGACGTCTGCGCGCATGCGCAGTGGGCCCACGGACGCCGCGCGACCTACACGTTGTGTCCCCACCCCGACCATATATATATAAATCATCCCCTAATTATTACTTAACCGTTGTGACAATTTTAACGACAAATCCAATTTTCCTGACATATATCCCCATTAATAATTTTTCCAACCCACACGCACAGTGTTCGACGCCCGAGTGCAACAGTGATCAATGGAATTTCGTAAGTGCAACATATTTTTAATTACTTTTATTGTTCTTATATAGTAACGAAACTATATTATCGCTTATTTAATGAAAAACTAGGGGAAAACGTTTTCATTTGCTTTGTATTTAATTTTTAACAAGGGCAATCAAAAACGTTAATTAGAAAAATTATGAAAGTAGGTGTCCAGAAGGGTTACCGTCCACCGATTACCCATAAATTTAGTTCCACCTGGGTTTGCAATAAGTTCAAATCCTTACTTTTAGCATATTTTTTCTTTCAACGAATGTGCCGTTTTTATCCACATGTATCTTACCGATGAACGAGCTTATTAGATGTTTAGGAAGATGCCTGCCTTTTCGATTATAAATCGCCTGCAAAATATCACAAATATTTCTCGTCTTAACAAAAAATGTGGCGTGGTGGCTGACGTCGGTACACGTCAGCAACCTAACCTAGGCCAACATAGGCGTCCGAGGAGGTCATTACACTCGGTCACGGCCGTACACTTTCTAGCTGTACGAATTATTCTCGTTTAGACTTCACACTGTAACATCCAACGTGGGCCTCTGGTCCCTTTTTACTTTTTGGTAAAAGGGACCCGCGGTCCACGGCGACTGTAGCTTAAAATATAACGTCGTGGGCAAACTATGTATTTGGTTAAAAGAATCTCTTTTTCCTAGCCATCGGTTCTACTTAGGCTGGCGTAGGGGTCAGTTATATAATACGTACCGACAGACATTTCGGCATTTCGCGTCCCTTAGCATACGGGAAGTAGGTACGTAGGTTTGATTAATTTGCCGACGTTACCCTAGGTCACTGATCGCGACGGCTACGAGCGGCGGACGAAGTTCTACGAGCGTTTCCGACGTCAACGTTAGCATAGTGTGCCAACACGTAGTATGACTAACCCATTCATCACAATGCCTTCGTCTTCATTATTTATATGTAAAACTGGCGAATGCTCGCGGACGTTGTCCGAACCGAGTGTCGTCTTCAAATTTGCAAATTGTCTCAAATAGATTAGAATTTCCACAACTGACAAAATTATTCGGTTTATTACATTACATGAATGAAAATTATTTTAAACGAATTAAAATAATTATTATTTGTAGCGGGGTGGCTTCAAGACCTTGACAGTGAAATGTCAAACCGGCTAGCGTGCAGTGAGCGAAGCGAGTAGGGATGAATTCGTTGACTGTCGATAATTCTTTCTATAAACTTGGTTCTAAAGCAAAACTTGAAATTTAAGAGGTGTCGCTGCTATAAGTTTATGTATAATATACATATATCAATTGTAAATTTGTGAAAACGCGGTAAATTACCGAGTAGCCGTCAAGGTTACTAAAACGGATCCCTGATTCAATGTCTAATACGTTTATAGAAAAATTAAGGACTTATTACTTTAAAAATGCGAACATACATCGACTATAAACACCTTATCGACAGAAATGTCAGGGCACGTCACTACCGAACAAAAAACCTGTCTGGTCAGCACCGACCTCTCTACCCTAGACAATTCTTTCCTGACCCATTTGGCCGAACGCGCTTTTTATTAATTTTACAGCTGCTTAATATCAAGAAGCCAACGTCTTTTTGACTCGCGGACGACTCATCCGTTTGATATGTTCCTATAGCAACGAGTTTAGAAGTTAAAACGTGAAGGACAATAATGTATGTTCAATTTACTTCCAAACCGAATTGTATTATTCTCTCTATATGCTACACCAAAATCTAGACAAGCTTAGCTTGATATTCCTTTTTGAGGGGGTTATCTACTCGGAATAAGGCTTCGGAAGGAAATGCGGTTGTGTCCAATGATTATGTAATGAACGACCTATGCTTACGGCACCGGTCAGCACTTACACTTACGTGAACACTCCGAAGCGTTGTAGTAGAAAAGTAATAAAATTTTTATGAAAAACATATGGCGGATGCAGATGCGCACCAATTTTAGCTGTCTCCCGAAACAAGGGCAAATTTAGAAATAGATCTTTGAGGCTTCATCTTTTTACGAGACGCTCGTATCAGCTGATTTAAACTAAAAAATAATGGGGTATTCATACCTTAATAGCATTCGTCGAAAGGTCCTTTAAAAATGAGAGAGAACCTTGTCCCAATTACATCCGTTAGATTGAAAGTAAATATTTTTCTTAAAATGATTAAGCGAATGTAAACCTATGTAAAAGAAGTAACAACACTTTACAGAATCACGTTGTGGACCAGTTTAAGGTTGTCTTATTTCACAGACTCAGCTATTTCTGAGACGTACTATAAATAGTTTAACTGTTACTCTGTAAACAATACCCTGACTCTGTGTTCAGTCCCCATTTTGGGGTTCATTATTTAGCTTTTATTGTTTTTAGTATAAAAGTTTAAATCCGGTCAAAATGGGATCGTTTTATAACTGATGCCATACGCACTCCCCTACTAATTAACACGAGCGTGTAAATGTGAGGTAACGGACGAGTTCCTTTAATTTTGGCTTCTTTTGTCATTTATTATATCACCTACGAACCGGTTTTAGGGTTCGAGTTTCAAAACGTCCTGCTAGATAGTGAATAGATCCAACCCGTTTCGCGTAACTACAAATTAAATAAAGCCTAATTTTGGTCCACGTAGTTTTAAATGTTACGCCTTAATTTCTTCTCTCTCACTGCAGTCTATCGTTAAGAATGAAGAATATTAAATATACATTTCCACGAAGCTAAATGCAAGATGGCGTCTAGCTTTAGGAATGCCGCTTCCTTTGGGAAAGCTAAAACAATGGCTGTGGGAATCCACCTATGCAAATACGTTTATAATGAGAATAACTTTAATAATTGGAATAGTGTAGTTATTATTTTGCTATGTGTACTCTACGTAGCTGCCGTTTACTAACATTTAGTTAAAGATGGCGGTCGTCAAATCAAAATCGCGTGTCTTATATAATAGGAATGCCCATCGACATATCAAATATTTAATTTTCGTGCAGAAACCGTAAAGTAAGATATGGAGTGAACGTTCCAATTTAAACGAAGACGGTCTAAGACGAGTGGCCCGGCCAGATTCCAACTCGAACGCAGGCCGCCGACAAAAAGCGACATACCAATATTTGCTCCTAAGGATTCCTCTGCACTTGTCAAAAAACAAAGAGACGAAACATAAAAAGACAATCGGGCCGGGAATAAGAATGAGCCCCGTCTTCTGGCCGGAATTATGGATTCGAAACACGGTGATTTCTTTAGACAGGTTGCATTTGTTTTTACGGTAAATATTCACTATTTCATACGTTGCAGGGTTGTCAAATTATAATCTTTGTGTAGTAAGTTTCTTTGTGTCACCGAAAAACGTTTCTGGGCGCAGGCGCAAGAAAATATAAATAATGAACGTATTGTATGTTTTTTATTATTATAGAAATGTAAATGAAGCCATCGAAAAATAAAACAACGACTAATTTAACCGACAGCCCTGACTTACTAATTTGTGTAAAAAAGCAACAAAGAAAGCCCTAGCGCTTCAGTTGAGCAAACGCTCCGCGCCAATGCGCCTGCACCGCCCCCGTTGGCGGCGAGCGATAGAGACAGAGATATGTTATCTCATGCAACAGAACAGAATAGATATGCTGCACAACGCGAGGGTACCCGAGCATTTATGCTAAACAGAGCTAGCCAAGCGATGTTCCTACGAGCAGGAGTGAGACGACACGGCTGCATGGGCCGCGAGGGTTCTCGATCGTTGACTCCTTTCAAGGTTATCCTGCATTCAAAGAAGTGACCTTGAATACTTTCTTTTGAGGTCGAATCGCTTACGAAAACTGACCCACTTATTTCACTTTTCCCAGTGAAAACTTGGCCGTCGTTAATTTTGCGATCCTTGCCATTGTAAAGTATAAGGTGAGGATTCCATTTGAAAATCGAGTGTTCTTGTGGAAAGATAACCGTCAAAGATTTTTTATATTCATAATATCAAATTCTGTTTGGCAAAATAATAATCCCTATTAGAAAGCTATCCGATTACTACCGGTCCTTGTTTGAAATAATGTATAAATCCATAAGTTCATTATAAATTTAATAAATGTCATCTTTCAGTACATCTACAACAGTCGAAGTATTTGCGCTCCACGTGACAGACCACCTACCCAGCCACGGATAGCCTGGGACCTATACCTACATAGTTAGATGTGATAATGTACATTAACGAACATAGACGAGGCGAAGTAACAGGGTGAAAGTAAAATACGGGGGTGAGATAACAGTATCTCGTATTATCTAAACATAATATTTGTGCTCTATCTAATTTTATCAACATTGGGTTAGGTGACTAGACTTAGAATTGTTTGAGCTTTTTATCTCAGCTGCATATTTATAGTGTGTGTTTTCTCCATAGTTGAAAATAATATAAGGTCATATTTTAAGTAGGCGTAGGCGGGGACTGTGTAAACTTAACCACTGATTTTTAATAACGGGTCTTCACATGGAATTTCGTTTTATATACAAAATATGTTAATATGAAAGGAAAATAATAATATAATATAATAATTTATTAAAACTCTCTTTAGAAAGCTATAATTGTAATTCATATACTTACTCATAATTTTTGTAACTAAATAATCAGTGGAAACCGTTGCTATCTAATATCTAAAAGTGTGCCATAGATTTTACAAAATATTCTTTTGCTGATCAAATCGTGGACGTTTTACACTTTTTCGAATATGTTGATACATTTGATGGAATCGTTAATAACTAGCAATGACGTGTTTGTTAAAAGTAAATAAAAAAAATTGAAAGTTCGTTTGAAATAATTGATAGAGCCCGCATAAGCTGCACGTGTTTAGGGGAGGGGAAGACTATCACGTTAGAATGGCCTTTCGACGAAAATGTTATGGTTAACGGGTGTTTCATTTTGCATATCGAAGGAAGGATTACGGCGAACCCTCGTATACAGCTTTGAAAAACATGGTTTTGTGGGTCTAAGTTCATACCTTCGGTTAGATTTGCTGTGTTGTATCTTTGTAGTTGGGATAACGGCGTCCGTAAAAGGGTGAAAGCTTCCTTTCAAACGCACTAAAATCACGAAGACTGCCGTTTTACAATTACAACATACTTCACGATTCACAATTGACAGTCACATGAATCAAAACTATTTCAGCATTTTGAACTACGCGAGTGGCGGAATTAAGTGACAACTAGCACGCGCTGACATAATTCGGCCGTCGCACCGAGCATCTACCCTCGAATTTTTTCTCAAAATTTTAATACCTACATTTTTTACTCGGTTAAACGAATTTGTAAAATATAAACATCTGATATTTCATTGGTAACAAATATTATTTCAGTTTTTGCGTAGTATTTAGTTAGTGCTAGAAGAAATGTCCTGTTTTTTGGGCGAGGTTATATTTTTGTGTTAAAATATTAATCGAAAAGAACCACGCGATAAGAAACGGAACCCTTGCTGTATTTGTTTCATATAAAAGTGCTGACCCAGCTTCGTTCTCACAATGATTCATCAGAAAATACAAGAACGATACGTGGGCGCGCCTACGTATCTTGTTCGTATGATAAAATAGACGCTACTAAGCTTACAATATAATCGAAAGTCGTTGGAAGGGATCCATCAAGTCATAATATTGTTTCGGCGATAGTAACATTACGTTAAGCATTGGAAGATTAAATAATATCCACTCAGGTGGGAGGCATACATCTATTACAATTTGAATCTAAGAACACTCTGTGTGTAAGGTATTTTACTAGTCTCTACTGAATATGTGAATCCTCAAAAATGTACTTTACTTACCGTTGTCCATTTGAATTTCAGAAATCACATCAAGCAGGAGGGAAGTGTTAGTTGGAGTCGACGTGCGCTGTTTTCTGATTAAAAGGAAGCTACAGTCGGTTCCGAAACCGAACTGGAACATAATGCGACCGGTGCTGCAGGAAATACCTTCAAACGTATCTGGGCCTGGTAACTCCACCACCGTTGGCGTATTCACCGCCAACGGGGGAAGAGTTCCTGCTCCTAGATGCGATGACCTACTGGGAAGACTCACAAGAAGATTGCGGCCTTATTCTGATATTACATTTAGACGTATAAGAAAATTAATGCAATTAAGGTGAATGAATGTACGTTTAACCCTTGTAAGCAAAACCTTGTAAATTGTGGCATGAAACTATTAGACTCTTGTAATTATGTCATAATATTTACCCAAATTCTTGAATGCATTATCATTTAAATATTGCATTTGATAGTTCAAGCTTGCAACGTTTGTAAGAGTCGCCCTTTACAATAAAAACACAAGAATAAATAGAAAATTGTTTAATGCGGTCATACACTGTAGATTTCATTATGACATGAAAATATGCATCGATAAAATTGCCTACATATCTACAATTTGAACACTAAACCGAAACGTATCGATATAATATAATATATACATAGATATGGATATAAAAAGTAAGGCATTTTAGTTTAAAATTTGATCGCTACAATCTACAATTATTGACAAGATCTGTTAGCGAGTCTATTATTTCGTTATATCCAAAAACGATGTGAATAAGCATATTGTATAGCTCACCTGCCAATGGGCTCGTAATATTGAAAATAAAACTAGCTATGGTTTTATATTAATATGGTTTTATTTACACAGCCCTTTTTCAATAACAATACGAATTTCAAGCCTATTTTACACTTTATTAATAAAATCGTGTGTGAATTTTATTCGTCAGAGTAATCAAGAAAAGTAAAAGTGAGTAAATAAAACGATTGAATCAAAAATAATAATAAGACACATAAAATATGTACAAATCATAATTTAGTGGACAGTCTTTGGGGTCAACCAGTATTTGCGATGGATCCCCATTTTTTAGATTTTCCCAAAGTGTGGGCCGCCCGCTGGTCACGTAACTTTTCGTCTTACTTACAAAGCAAAATTTAGGTTTTTGTATTATTTAAATTTTATTCATCAGTCTTCAGGCATTTACATCACCATATTTCATTTAAATAAGTTTCACTATGTTGCTTTAGAGTGAATATTTTCGCGTCGAATAAATAAAATATCTTAGATTACCATTTAAATATAGTTTACATAAACCGATAGTGTTTTATGCGAAGGATGCAATTTTTTGTAATCATGAAATAGGTCTAGCTTAAGGAAAAGACATTTAGGTACCAGTAGGTTAATTGAATGTAGTTTCAGTAGAATCATATTTGGGCACCGACTCTTGGCCGTTATTCGCTTACAAAGTAAATAGATACATAATTGGTGGAACTCACTTTAACTAATAATTTGATTATTACCACACGACTGCATAAGGACAAAAACAGAAATCTTGCATTCACATTAAAAATACTAGTACTGATGAGAGACATTTTGTATCTACTTATTTTGCGATGCCACCATTGCCATGAACAACGTCAGGAATGAAAACTAATAAACAATAAGAATAACAACGTTTTTCAATAACATAATATTCCTTTATATTTATACTTATTTACATTTGACTCTTCCTCGATTCGAACAAACCGTTTTCTACCTGCAAAAATTCAATAGAGGAAATGAACAAGTAAAAACGTCCGTTCGACGTAAGTGAGGAATGTGAGCACTCACGTGGCGCGACAGACGGGCGACTGCAAGTCCCTCTCGGGTCCGCCTGCGAACGATATGTTCAGCAGCATGGCTTCGAAGGGATCGCTGTGCATCCGCTTCTGATTGGCGACGGCGGCAGACGGCCCGTCGACGAGGCGGCTTTCCGTGCTACCATCCTGTAGTGAACGTTACTTGAAATATCGAAAACTATATATATGTAAAACGATTCCTGTACATGATTTCCACAGGTATATGCGCTTATTTTAGATTTATAAGAGTATAGTATTCATACCAAATTAAAGAGATAATTGATAGTGACATTTACAATTGTACCTTTAATCAAACACTTTTATAATTCTTAATTACAATTCGATGAGCTATCACGTATCACGGTAACCTTATTAGTTAGAGCAACAGCACGGACGTAGTGGACCTGTGGATTCCGGTTCGAGACTACCTGTGTCGGGATTTTTTTAAAAATTATAATCGATTTTTATTTTATACTAGCTTTTGCCCGCGACTTCGTTCGCGTGGACTTCAGGTTCGTCCCGTCTAGTCTAGTAATCAGTTAGAAATACGGTAACTAAGCACTGCAGAGCCCTAATCATAGGTCTATAGGTCGCTACTGCAGTATGCTCCTATAAACTACATTTAACGATCTTTTTCCTTCAGCATAAACATGCAGATTCCTCGCTTTGGAAAGACGTGAGCAAGCCACATAGAGCTGACCGTGAGAAAATTTTTATGTTTTTTAAAAAACGGCGAGACTCATCTGTTTCATTTGAAAAAAAAGTTCTTTAAGAGGTTCAACAGGCTCGTCTATTGAAGGAAGAACTACTTTTCCTCCCGAACAACACATGCCTCCTGCTTCCTCTTTCCATTTAAGAGCACCGCAAAATCTGCATTCTTTATTCATCGCTTCTATTTTTATAAGCTTGTGGCTTTCGTAATCAAGAGTTTCATCGTACTCAAATGCAGTTTTATCGAATGCTGTCGATCCTGCGACTGTTCGGGTGTCTCAGAAGCCTGTTGAGATCCCAGATATTCAGCGTTCTGTTGACGTCGAGATTGAGACTGTTCGGGTGTCTCTGCAGCCCGTTGAGATGCTAGATACTCAGCATGCTGTCGACGTCTATCTTGGGACTGCTCTGGTGTCTCAGCAGCTCTTTGAGCTGCCTCACGCTCTGCTTGTTTAAGCCTTCGCAGTTCGGCTTGTGGAAACGTCTCGTTAAGTCTAGCTACTTTTATATTTCGAGTTTTATCAGAGCTTCAGAAAGATTAGACTTACGCTTTCGCGGCATAATTCTTAAGTACGTGTTGTTTCTATACTTCCAAAAAATACAGTACGGTAGTTATTGTTATGATTGTACTTTAATGCAATCCTTGCCTATTTAATTAACCTATCTATATAGTAATTGAATTAAATGAAGTATCTTTTTGTACGTGTAACTCCTAACCAAAAAGAAACCTGGCAATAACAACCTTAGGCTTATATAACTAAAAGTAGGCGACCATACGTTTTTATCAAATCGCTAGTGCCTTGAAAATTCGCAAAACGGACACAACCGTCAACGACGTCTGCCCTCACGCGTCTGCCCGATTTCGGGTCGCGCACTCAGCGATGAGCCACTTCTTCCCTACCGCACCTACCCCGCTCCCCCCACGCCCCGTTCGCCTGGCACCGCTGCCGGTATTTATCGCCGAAATTCCTCTGACTCTGCATTTTAAATCTGTGATATCTTTGAAAATATTTATTTAATTTACATGCTGTAAAAAGCCATATTGATCTTTAATAAATGCACAATGTATTTAAGATACTTAATTGGATAAGGATTAATACTGTATTGCTTAAAATCGCTTCGTAAATAAGCCATTATTTCTCGTACAAAGTAAAGGATAAAAAATGGTTATTGTGGGTTATTCCTAAGAGATAAACATATACCATCACGGACTTTTTTGGAGACCTTTTTAAGTTGTACAATACTGTAGTACATTGTTTTGATCTATCTTGTAGGATTCAGTCAGCGTTTGCAATGTAAGCGCAAAAAATGTGTTTTTTTACGACCCGACATTAAAAACCTCAAAAATTGTAGCCTATATGTTATTCTGATGTATAAGCTATATTGTGGTAAAGTTTCATTCAAATCCATTCAGTAGTTTTTACGTGAAAGAGTAACAAACATCCATACATCCATACATCCATACATCCATACTTACAAACTTTCGCCTTTATAATAGTAGTAGGATAGCGCCATCATGTGCAAAAAAATGAAATCTATCGGTTTTACAATAACTAATAATAAACATACAATAACTTTTATGAATAAGTCATAATAAACAGAATTATAAAACTTTAATATTTTGTACATGTTATTGCACATGATGGCACTATATAAAATAAAAATCGATTCCAAATTGAAAACAAATTTGCGACAGTACTTGAACCGACATTCACAGCGTTCCGTGCTGTCGCTTTCACCAATTGAGCTATCGTGACGGGGTAGCTCGTCGGTTTAAATTTAACATTGCTTAATTGCTAGGCGATCCGAGCTCATTACCTCTGGGGCTGGGCTCCAGAGTCTGACGACGGCTTCAATGCCGCTCGTCGCCAGCAGGAACATGGAGGGGTGCAGCTGTACGCAGTTCAGGATAGATTCGTCGGCTCGCAGGCAGCGCGCGATGTTGCCAGAATTGCGAGACCAGATGAACATACTGCCGTCATCTGAGCTGGTAATGAGATGAGACGTGGTAACCATGGCAACTGATGTTATTATTACTATTACTAGCGACTTTGTCTACGTAGAGTGGTTATTTCGGGCATCAATATTTGCTTTTGCAAACCTCTTGTTCAACTCTATAAATTTAAGCTGTTACCCAAGACGTCGCCCGCGTTCCCGCGTTCCCGCGTTCCGTCGTTCTTGAAAGTTAATCTCAAAGATTACTTCCGCGGATACTTTTTGGGTATCTTGAACAGTTTTGCAGCGCACGCAATGAAAACCCTATTCCCTGTTTCTTTCAAGTATCTCGCCGCGTACCACACATTCTTCGCTACTATTAGTCGCAGCGCGATGTTTTGCAGCCTATAGTTTTCTTTGATAAATGCTCTAACCGACACAAAAATAATTTTTCAATTCGAACCAGTAGTTCCTGAGATTTGATTTGAACTCGTCAAACAAATAAACAAACAGCTGAGAGACAGCTTTATATATTAGTATAGAAGTATAGATTTGTCGGCATGAAACCTTACCCGGCCGCTAAGAAGTTAGCATCGGGCCCGAGGAAATTCGCCTCCTTGATGTCCGTAGTCGTGTTGCAATGCCCCAAGAAGCGGCAGCTGTAGTCCAAGGCGGAACTCCGCAATTGCCGCTCGAGAGCGCTGCCGTTCTGACCTTCTTCCTCTGTCGCTGTAAGCACATCGTCTACACTAATATTATAAAATAATAAACAAGTCAATTGTTTCAGTCTTAAGAGATTATAGAATACATTCAATCAATCATATGCACGTATCGAGTCTCGGATTATTTTGATTTTGTATTAGATTGGAAATTTAAGTTCTTTTATTTAAATTTTCGCCGCTAAAAACTCTTAAGTGATGAGGCACGTAATGACACTAAAGTTTGTGTCTTATTGTTTTCTCGCTAAGTGAAAGAAAAATAAATTCTCAAACCAGATATCGATTAAGAAGTGAACTGCGACAGAAGCGAAACGAGTAATACCTTCATCCGGTTGAGTCTCCATGGACTCCAGGGCCTCTCCTATGTCTTTTTGCAGTAGGAACACGGCGTGACTAGTCGCGTGCTTAGGGAACTTATCCTTAAAGTACAGAAGACACTCGTGAGCTTCGCGGGCTCTCTTCAAGTCCATCAGACCTTTGGCGAGGCGGAAATGAGATTTGACGTGGTTGGAATCGAGTTTGATCGCTTTGTAGCAATCTCTGATCGCTGCGTACGTGTCACCGGACCTACAAAGAAGCATCAATAACGACGTATATTCATTAATCAATCGTAATGAACAAAAATTAATGAAAAAACGAACCATCCCCTCCTCATCAGCGCAGCGGCCCGGTTAGAATATAATATGGCGCAGTTGGGACATTCGGCTATCGCTAAATTGTACAGCTCTACTGCACCCGAGTAGTTGCTTTTATTCACTAGTTCGTTGGCCTGAAAAACGTTACACGATATTTGTAATGACGACGTCAGAAACATATGAGTATAGTCCAACTAAACAGAAGTTAAAAGTGATAAAAGGTTCTAGACTTTTCATCAGAAGTAGAAGGCATAATGGTTGTAAAAACCTATATTTTTTTTTACAGAAGTTTGCAATTATTTTTCTCACGTTCCCACATGTTTAGTACTCACCGCTTCCTTCATCTGCCTAACTTTCTCTGGTAACTGCTGATCCACGGTACCATTGCTACCTTCCACTGGAACTGTACCGTTATTGGTACCGTTTCGGTTTTCGTTCTTTTTTTCACCCTCTCGGTAGCCATGGTTGTGTTGAATAATAAAACTTTCAACTAAGACTGGTCGTCGTGCCGAATTAATGTCATATAAGTATACCTAAACAAACAATATTAATAAGAGATAATAGAAAATAGAATTTAAGGGAAAAATAATGCATTTTTGCCCTAAGACATAGTTAAAAGTTAATTTTGTTCATTTTTTGTGCAATAAAGTGTAAATAAATAAATAAAAGGATATATTACCTGTTCTGAGCCTAGATTTACTAGCAACTCATTTCCATCATGACTAAATGCAACATAAGTAACAGCTTTCTTGGGGAACGTTGGCTCATGGGGCTCCATGGATAAATGTCCTGTGAACAGAAGTATGGTGGTAAACTAAAGCTTGGTTATTAAGAAGTATCACTTCTTAATAACTCAACATATTGAGAATCTCACCAGGGGCATAATATTGGACAGCCGCACGAGGAATATTATTATCAGGGTCGCCGTGACCGGCGCGGGAACACCGTACGTTTTGTCGCTCCCACATAAGACGCGACATTGGTGCGTTCATTTGAAAGTCCTGAAAATATTTACAGGTTCTCTTTTAATTTGTAAATCGAGAGAATTCGATAAGTCCTTCTATATTAGGGATGAAGATAAAGAAAAGCTGTTTCAATTGTAACATAGCTCTCTTAGCAAACAAGTAGGAAATTAGAAATCATTACAAGAAAGTCCTTTAAGAGTATTTGTCAATTCTACAAACCTGCAGTCTACCCAGCTTGATCATTCTAGTATCGTATAAGCGCACGTAGAAGTCGTTAGCACCGACCGCCAACTGGTAAGAGCGGCGAGGGTTGACCGCCACGCATTTGGCTTCAGCGTAACGGCCCATGTGGTTCAGCAGGTTCACCAACACATTGGCACAGTCCGAGTTGCAGCGATGAGGCATACGAAGATCGTGTTGTCTGAAATAGCATTGATTCTCTATTAAGAAAATTTTTATATTTTCTTAAGTCTGGGTATTGTCAATATTTTTTTACTTGTTCACAAGTTCATCCGTGACAAAAGCAAAATATGTGAAAACAACAGTTGACAAAGAATCTATACCAGTGGAATAATGAGACAATGATAAAATTTTACTGCAAATATAAAAACTAAGGTCAGTTCTATATGAAATGACTTTCGTTTTGAAAAGTGTATTTTATATACTTACAATACAAGGCCATCTTCACCAGCAGACCACAAAAGGTGAGGCTTATCAGGAGCTACAGCAAGTCTTTTTACTCTGCCACTGTGACAGGCACATTCCAGCAAAGAAGTACCACCACATACATTCCGAGCACGAACTGATCCATCTGCAGCACAGGTGGCTACTATATCTGGTGAGAGGAACTGAAAACAAAATATTATCTATTATAAGAAATTTTAGTAATAAGCATTTTATAATTTCTTATATATAATCGTTTTCACGTAAACTTTTTCCTCTTTCATCTTGGGTTGCCTGGAAGAGATCGCTTGTTAGGAATAAGGCTGCCCATTGCACTCCATATTTTTAGTATATAAGTCTCGTTTATATTTTTGTTCATTTTTTTGTGCAATAAAGTGTAAATAATTTAATGAATAATTGTAGCAAGTTGTATGCTAGTGGGTCTAACCAAATCATATATATTTTTTGAATTATTTTGTTAAGGGAAAAAATATTTAAATTGAAATAATAGCAAAAGTTACTTAATCTAGGCAGGGCGGTGATATAGGTAAAAGTATTTATGAAAAGGTGGATTTTATTTTAGCAAACAATCTGTACAGCTAAAGAATTCAATATACTTTGAAGACATGTATCAAACCAATTCACCAACCAAGCAACTTTACATGTATGTATATATACTATCCGTTTTTTTCTTCAATTTTAAACATTTTGACTCTAGCTTTATCTGTTTCAACAAAAGATTTAAGTACTGACCTTAACTGAAAAAATGTTTCCTGTGTGTCCTGTTGTAATATTATGGAGTTGCTTATACCGAAACGGATCCCATAATATTACATGAAGATCGTCAGAAGCCGAAGCGAGCACTCTACGACGCAAATTTAGAAATTAAAGCAACCTTCTCTGTTAAATAACTCTAGTGTGGATCATTGAAATACTTACGATCCATCTTTGCTCCATTCCAGGCAATTTACGCATCCCATATGCCCATGGAGCTCTTTTTCTAGACCAAGTCTGTCTATTAAGCTGCGAGTTACAGTCAGTCGATTCTGGAACTTCCGCGCTATATCACCGCGTTCTCTTGCAGCTGAGAGCCCTATAGTGCCTAGCTTCCAACCTGGATCTTCTCTCCTACCCATTGCTGCTTCTTCAAATACAGCAATGTATCATCACAATAGGGGAATAATGCTTACCACCTTCACCTTAATCTATTTATAGTTTCTAACATCTCACTACTATCTACAAAATAAAACACTTTCATTAATGTACACTATTTTGCACTATAATATAAATGAACAATAATAGAACAGTGAGAAAATGGTACCTATTTTTTCACTTCATCAAGATTTCTCTATTTCTCTTCGAAAATAGTTATTCGCTGAGTTGTCAACTGTCAAACAATTATGTATTTTGAAGTAACAGCTGTCAACAGCATCGAAAGATTGTTTAGTTCACTAATCATTATTTAAATTGTGTATGGCTTTCATTTCATTGTTTTTCGGACTATTCAGAGTTTCAGAAAATATTCTCGCTCACGTTGGCCGAACAGCGCGAAAAACAATGATGTACTGGATTTTAATTGTTTTTATAAATAGTTTCTATAGTAAATCCAATACGCCGATTCAAATAGTCGTAAACGTAAACTAGTCTAGTAAAATGTAACTCATAGCTTTAAACATAGAGAAGCCTAATATATTGGCTTTAAATTAAAATGAGTAGAATAGTAATTTTATGAAACATGTATCGCGGGATCAATATGAATCTAGATTCTAGAGGAAATAAACATACTTAGACTTAGATTGCAGAATTACTTTCTGCATTGATAGGGATAATGTAAGGAAATATAATAATTATAATAAATAAACATAAAACCATATTCATACTTCAAGCATAAAATTATTAATCAATCGCTTTTAATTTAAAATTTAATCTATGCTGATCCTTAATACTTGACGTTGACGTTATTCAGTTGATTCTCTAAAAGTGACTTCAATTGCCTAATATAAATTACTATTTATCAAATCAAATATTCAATATCCATTAAATTGATTTTACCTCTGAGCAAGTAAGTAACTTCAGCTTTTCTAAGATTTTAGTGTGCAAGTAATGGTTCAGGGATTAAAACACACCCTCGTAAACAAGACAAGAGTATTTCATTTGAGATCGATAATTAGAATATATATGTATATAATAAAGAGCTAGTATGCTAGTATTGTATTATTCTGTTTATATACTTAAATAAAATAATAATAGGTAACTTTGTTTAAAGTACATAACATTTTAAAAAGACAAACAACAATAAATTAGGTTTTAATTGATTGACTGACTCAAGTAATGGTGCTTACAGATAAAGAAAAATGGGTGAACGAAAAGGCCAAAACCTGTATTACCCCCCTGATTATGATCCCAAAGTGGGGGGGTTAAACAAATTTATGGGAACTCATGCCTTAAGAGAGAGAGCCAGAAAGTTACACATGGGTATATTGATAATACGGTTTGAAATGCCATACAATATATGGTGTGATGGCTGCAACAATCACATTGGAATGGGGGTGAGATATAATGCAGAAAAGACGAAAATTGGAATGTACTATAGCACTCCTGTATATCAATTTAGGATGAAATGTCACCTTTGCGATAATCATTTCGAAATTAAAACTGACCCTGGTGTAAGTATCTCATTATGTTCACACTTACTGTTTTGTTGTTTTAAAATTGCACCTTGTTTTGGTGCAATTTTAAAATTCTATATGTCATTACGGGATAAAATCTTTTGCTTAGTTTCTTTAAATAATAACATGAAATTTTTGCATTCACGGTTACATTATTGATTTCAATTGGTTTATGTTTTTCATGATTACAGAATTTAGATTATGTCATTGTGTCTGGAGCTCGGAGACAGGAGAACAGGTGGGATCCTACAGAAAATGGTCAGATTGTTCCAGAAACTAAAGAGACACAGAAAAAACTTTTTGATGATGCTATGTTTAGGTCTGTATGTGTATTGTCTTAGGCAATTTGTTAGCATATTAGGCATTAATCAAGCAACGATAAGTTTATCCAATATAATTATTTGATTTAATTTTTCAGACTAGAGCACAAAACTGGGGATGAGGAAGCAAGTAAATTAGATAAACCTCGCTTAGGAAGACTTGTCGGTCGCAATGAAACTGTTTGGAAAGATGATTATGAAGCAAACTGTGCTTTGAGGAGAAACTTCAGGGTAAATTTACTTTTAATATATAGGATTAGTCATCTATACAGTTTAATTTACATGTTATAAAATACACAGATTTCTATCCAAATCCATTCATCCATCTTCAAATCTTTCACACTTATATTTGTATGATACTATTATTTAAGAACTAAAAATAAATAATATTTCCAACAGAAACGCAGAAAAGAATTAGAAGACGCCTCAGTAAATGATAGCCTACTTCTTGCAAGGTCTTCTCTTGACATTAATCTGCTTCCGGAAAGTGACGACGATAGAAATATGGCTGCCCTGCTTTCTCTTAGGCCTGCTCGCAGTATAGAAGAGAAACAAACAGTCACTCGCAGAAAAATCTTAAATGCACCAGCTTTACCAAGCTCTAGTGGCCTTATTACAAGTTTTGGTGGATTAAAAAAAGAAGAGTCTTTGAGCAAGCAAGGGAATTATACAAGAAATTCTCTGGGAGTGATAGTCAAGAGAAATAAATTAAATGATAATAAGGTAGAAAATGAGAACATTGAACTCAAAAAAGAGAGTGAAATGACAGGAATAAAATCAGAGTGTTCAAAAAACATAAATAATATGGATAAACGCAACGCGACGTCCTTGGTTGACGATTATAGTTCCAGTGGTGAAAATTCAGAATGATACACTGTAGAATAAGCTTTATTGTTACGAAGAAATAAACATTCTCATTTCTTTAATGAAATCTTGTATTTCAGTTGCTCATTAAAAAACATCTATTTGCTATTCAATATAGTTTGTTAAGCCATTTTAAAATACACAAACATCAATTGACAGTTGTCAAATTATGTCTCTCACATTTACAAACTATTGAATAAAAAATAATTTGAGATCGTACACTCGGCAATATATTACAATTTAAAAATTAACAAAAATACTTTTAAACATTTAATGTAAGTATGTATTGAAAAATAATCTTCGTTCTGTGATCGGCATTTATTAAAGTAAGTAAATTATCAATTATAAAGCATAGACAGTGAACATCCACAAGATTCTCTCGTATATATTTAGTATTTCGCTTATGAAAGATTCTTAAATGAACGTTGTTGCAAGCATCATAGCATAAATATTAGGTAAATGAAGAGCACGCTCTGTGCAAAATATTGTTGCAAAACGGTTTATCAAGATTCGGTTACGTCAAATCTCCTTGAAGGGTTTTTTTTTTTCACTTCAAATGAATAACAAATTATATTACCTACTACAGATACATTTACCCCAAGTACAACTTGAATAATGCTTTCAACAACTAACGCATATATATAATACATTTGTGCTATTAAAGAAACACTAAGAACGATGAACTATTAAGTGTCAATTTCTGTAGAATTACCTAATAACAAATTGCAATAGGTTTTATTATTAAACGATCAACAAAGTGAGCCGAATTTGCCGGTTGGAACGCTTGTGGTCTACTCGTAAAGGCGAAACATTGAATACCTTCACTAGCAGCACGGAAACTGATAGTCACGGAGAATGGCCGAGAAAAGAGAAAGCCTCATACAATGAATGGAAGAAAATGTATAAGACGATAAATGAAAATAGTCTCCCCAATTGCGGGAGATGTTAAATAAACGTTTATGTGAAAATATTGTTAGGTTCCCGGTACTTCATTGTGAGTTACTGCAGCGTTTGTCTTCTAGTGCCTGTATTAGAGCACACTCGATCTTGCCTTGGAGCCAAACCAACACTTGCGGGTCTTGGATTTCGATTGCTTTCTCGTCGGTGGCGAAATAATTGACTAGTTCGTCCTGAATAGACAAAACATTGTTTAGTTGTGGTAGTGCATGTGATCAAAAATCGATGTCTTGAAAATGATAAACCAGGTTTGAAACTAAATTATAACAACTTAAATTTTGAAGATTTGAAGCATGTATTTATTTATATTTGCTAAAAAAATCGTTTTGTGGTACCGCTTACGAGGTTCGATGCTTAATCGCGTCGCTAAGCACTGCGTTATAAAATAAAATGGGCATTGCAAGGAAAATTTCAGTTTTAAGTGTGCTTTATTTTGGTATACATATGAATATCGAGGAAGTCGTTGCTTTTAGTGCAAATGCTAACTAGTAAAGAAATACACTGGTTTATATGCAATTCCTAAGAACATGTGAATACCTGTTTAATATTAAGAACAAGCTTGTTATCCCTGATGATGGGAGTTCCAATTAAGTCATCAAGCTTTATCACCCACTCAACCGTCCATGAGCTTCGACCGCTGCTGAGTCGGACCAGGAATATGTGCCTGCGCATCAAAGATATATAGAATAAGAAAGCTGTATCATTTTTTTTGTATAAAAATTATCGCTATTTGAGTTCCTTATTCGGCCACTGGTATCAGCTTAACCGCTAGATAGAGCTGTTAAAATTGTATAGCTATCCGATTTGTAGGATTTCGTATAAAGGTTACTTACTGCGTTGTAATTAGTATAGATGCCAACGATGTGGGTGAAAGATGCGCATGAGCAACATATCCATCGGTCTCAGCATAGTGGCCGTGAGATATTTGCTTTAATAAAGCTGCACCGCGCGCTGCTAACGGGCTGTACGGCCGAATACCCTAGAGAAGGTAAGTTTAACGATGTTTCAAATCTCTTTCTCTATCATAAAAGAAATAACAGTTCAGTGACACGAATGTTAACATGCAGCTTTTCAGGAATAGCACATTATTTGAATATTGAACTCACTTCGACGATAGAACAGTCCCTGGGCAGTCTCATTCTGGCCACCAGCCTGCCGCCGGATCTTTCAGCGCAAGATCTAAGCGCTGACTCGGCGTTCTCCACACCCAAACGGTATTGCGTAACGCGGGACACCTCGCGACAGATATCTGAGTAAGTTTTAATATAATATTTTCAGTTCGGGACGATATGATATCTATTTTCGTAAATATTTAAATATAAAAAAAATAACACTTGAACGGTTTAGAACGCGACATATATTAGTTAAACTTATTTGAAATTGAATCATTTTTAACTTCGGCCCGACGTTGCTGCAAAGCAACTAATATATATCGCGAATTAAACCGTTAAAGTGTTTAATTCAAATGTGTACAACTCGCGTAAAATACAGACAGTATTTAAGTTGTCAATATTACAACAGAATTTCTAGCAAAATTGCAACAACATCTAAAAACATGTGAATACAGTAGCTCAGTCAGTAGATCGAGGGCACAGTATTGCGTACTGGGGCGTACTTTTCAAAAATGCCCACACTGTACGGCACAGCACAACAAAAGCTATATTTAGTATGATTTTATTATGAGGCATTCTTCTTCAATAAATTTCAATCTCCCGCCATCGTTGGGCGTTCTTGTCTAAGATCTGTCTCATTAATTAAAACAAACAGAATTATTGACTAAAGCGATCAATACTTACATGTTATGATAGAATAATCCTCATCTAATAGTCGAAGAGATAGAACAATAAACTCCACATTAATGATGAAAAGCGAGTGGTTCAAATGTAAAATAAAAGATGCTTTTTACAAACTAGAAAATATTCCCATACTTAACAAAGGGCTTGCATTAAAATGGACACACTGTAACTATACGATAACTTTAAAGAAACATGCTAAAATTAAAAGGTATCGCTATCCATGCTTTTATCAAAACCCAAACACCGAAATGTAATGAACATGACAATTATACACACGACAAACATTTATATTAAAAAATACGAAAAGAAAATGCTGCGGTGCATTTCAAAATTGAATCCTTACTAAATAATACAGCACTCATAAGCAAACAGAAGTCTACTAACCGAGGGTAGGTCTCGCCATAACACCGGTCACGGCCAGAGTAACGCTGGCGGGATTTGTCTTATTAGCTTCCAATACCGCAGCGGGTACATCGTCTATGATCTGTGTACTACCTGTTTATCATAAAGTGAATTAAGACTTATCGAGAATTTTATGATTACAATGCGTAATGTTCTTATTTTTTATATATTTTAACTTGATCAAAAATATTTCGACAGACATAGGTAATATTTAGCGTGTTTATTTTGAGTGTTTGTTTTAAAAGTATTTTTTTATATTATTTTAATGATGATTAGTTCAAAATAAAAATCTATAACTTACTCAGCGCTGTTTTAGCAGACTTATGTGGAGTGTTGTGTTGTGTGTCTGTAGGCAGCAGACGTTTTGCCCCACTAAGGATCATATGCGGCGTTGCTGACGTTCGACGGTTGCAAGAGCCCTTGAAAGAGTCATAATGATGCTAATAAATTTTTGTATATTTGCTAAAGAATTAGGAACATTTAACTAGTGTGCTATTTAACAGGTCACAGAGCAGGGCGACACCTGAAAAGGATTTCAAAAAGATAGAAAAATCGATCGAGACATTAAACTTACTGAATAGGGTTCGTAAAAGTTTTTTAGAGATTTTGTAAAGTCGCCGATGTAGCTATAAGGATTGCCAAGAATGTTGAGGCCCAACACGAGCACGTAGAACTGCTGAACTAGTTGAAACCAGTAATGTCGTGACGCAGCGTCCCAGAGAGCAGAGGGCAGATTGATCGGCGCGTTGCGCATTTCGAAGTAGCTCATCCTAAAATTCAAACGCATTTCATACTTAACAATAATACTCGTAGTAGGTACCGACCAGTTCAAAAACCTACTTAAAGGTACAAAATTAGTACTTTGGATTCACAAACCTGATCACCACGTCTTTCATATCGCACAGAGAAGATCCCCAAGAATTAAACAAGTACTCCAATAAATCACTGTTAAATAGTTTCGGTCTGTTCTCTTTTTGACTCCCAAATCTTCTATTGGGGCTTCCGCCGTCACTGGAATACCCTCTCGATGATAGGCTCAACACTAATTTGATGGGGGATAGGTGGATAAACTCAAAAATAACATTTCTCTGAACGTTAATCTGGCTCTTCTGGGCGAGTATTGGTAGAGGCATGTGTACCAACGCCAAGTCCGCCCGCAATCTAACGGCGGGCTTTTCATCTATCTTCCAATGGTTTAAAATATCGAAAACGTGATTTACGAAGCCCCTATCTAAATTGACGCAGTATTCTTGTATAACGACCTTAACGCATTTGTATATATCCTGGTTTAGCGATGGCCTATACTGTTTTAGAATCTCCATTTCGATACAAGCTTTATCTTGCTTCGATTTCTGATGAGGCGATAATGCGGCCGGGTACAGAACACTAGGAAATACAGCTTCGTGCAACTGATTGTCTATTTGTAACTTTTGTAATTTCATATGACAGTATGTATAAGTTTCTGATCTGCGAAGCTGCAACCAGACACCTGGTTTGTACGTTCTACGTAATTCCGAGAAGAACGGTTTGGTCATTTGCATCTTCTCCAAGTCAATATGAAGGTACTCTTTCAACTGACATTTCTTTTGGTCGTTCTGATACTTTTCCTCAATCCAGGTCGTTAAGTCGGGGGCTAATTGCTTCCATTTGTTGCTAACATTAACTTCCCACCTTGGTAAAGAGTCCGTGATACTGATATACGACAATTCTTTTATTCTATCCCCAGTTTGAACGCAGACCGATAAGCTTACGCTGGATAAAGATAAAAAGACTTCGTAGTTACTTCTTTCAGCGTACATACTCATTCGATACTGATTCGCGATTCGCTCGTCTTGAGCCAGTGCAAAGACTCTTTGGTACCCATCTATGTAGGATATCCAATATATGACGACTTTGTCTTTTCTCACTTTTTTGGTCTTCGGAATATGCTCAGGTGGATCGCACATGTCGGATTCATCGCTGCTGGAAGTGCAAGGTTCCGGAGATTTAGGTGTCAATCGTTTGAGAGTGGATGACAGTTTGGATGTCACACTATTCGTCACCACGAGAGTAGACTGTTTAACCGAACGGAAACTCACTTTCTCCTCGCCGTACCTAAAATATATTTGTTGTGTACTTATTTTCACATAGAATACAATCATATTGAGCAATATGCTCTATCTTTACCCGTCTTGTGAAAAGTCCGCTGTGAATCCTTTACCCTTGTTATTATAAATGTTCCAAATGAGACGCCTTTCCTTTTTGGGATCGTCCCAAGTGTATAACATCGATTGGAAAGGACTTAGAAGAGCCACCTGACCTGAATCAACCTGAAAATGAATATGCCACGTTACTGAGTCCAGAAAAGTATTGCACCTCGATATACTAAGAGCATACTACTAATATGGATATACCTGGTGCAGTTTGAGGAATATGTCTTCACACAAATTATCGATGCGAACCGGAGCATCGCCCGCGCGGTATGGTTTAAAAGTAATTGTAAAGGGTCGATCAGTTCCACCAGTAACATTGACACTTATTGCAGTCTGGAAGCACAGATAATCATTATATTTAAACTAAATCCATTATTACTTATACTTTTTTGAGGAAAATACTATGGAAAAAATATATTATATTGTACTATAACATCTAGGATGCCATAATAATAGACCAATTCAGCAGGAACACCACATCATAGTTAAGTTTAGTCTTATCTAAAGCTCCACTAAAATAATGTTGTAATAAAAGCTCGTATGTTATGCAATGACTTTCATATTTTTAAACGTCCATGTGTAGCACTTGTGTTTGCTCTTTACCGGTCTAACTCAATTATCGACTTTCTTTCGCCCTCGTATAAGGTGCGTACGGCCGTTTCACTTTCGTTCAGTTTTCAGGCGACCTTTGCAAAAAAATGTCGTTAAAATTGATTGTAGTGATATGTGTATTACAAATGTTTTTCTGTTGTTTTTGTGACGAATACGAGAACTCTTACAGAATTAAAAGAGCAAAGTACTACACGAATTATCCTTTAAGATTTTATAAATCTCCACCGCCACCCATGCGCGGTTTTTCTTATACTCCACCTCCTGTTTACATGGATGGAGAACAAATCGTCTTGAAAAGACCGTTTAAATTGTCACACCAAGAGAATTTGGAAGACGAAGACTTGAGCAATCTTGTAAAACAGCTATCGAAACAAAACATTGACAAAATCGTCGAACTCGCTGCGAGAAAAGATCGATACAAGGAACAAACTAGACAACCTTCTGAAAATGTTTTTAAAACTTACGGACCACAATTCATCTAAGCACAGCCGTTCGCTAACAATCAGCAAATACCTCACGGATATGACGCACCGTCAAATTATTATGAACCAGTGAATACTCTTAACGCGATAGAACAAGATCGACCCGAACAGATCGACCAATACTCAAATGTCGAGGATACACAGCACAATGGGCGAGGTCCATATCCCATATCGGAAAGAGACTCGCATAGAGATATTTTAATTTTCACAAATAGCGAAACAGAAAAAGAGGAGCAGTTGCCTAGGCCCCAGAATTTAAGAGAAGATAGTGATTATGAAATATCGTACACAAATAATGTACCCACAATAGTCGATTCGGATTCGAGTTTGTATAAACTGGAAAGCTTTGCAGATTTACCATTGATGAATTTTGTGAATTCCAAATTAGAAACAGTTAATTCCTATAGTGTACCACATTATACGGTAAGTTTATTGAGACAATATACTAATGGCAATCCAGATAGGCAGACAAGAAAATTTAAATGACTTTAAATAAAGTATAAATAAAAATAAACATATCTCGCAGTTACACTTCTAAAGTTCTATTTAAATTAATAACCTAATGATTTAATTTACTGCCACAGGTTACTTCATCGAGAAACCAAATAGTTCCTCAATCCCGTCATGTCACATCACAGTCAACAGCACCACAAATCCAAGTTCAACCTGCACCTCCCAGGTCGGCAGCAGCCCAACAGAGTGATGCGCACCTAAAAGCGACGAAGATCTGGACTCATAAGTCTACTGGCATAGCGTATACGCTGCACGACGACGGGACGCTATCACTAGAAAAGCCAGCGAGACAAAGACCCAAATTTTAATTCAATTCCCTATCAATAATACTACGTTTGAAGAAGAGCGAATGATTTTATTTATGAAGGAAATTAGTATATTATTAATTGTTATAATGATGAATAATGAATAATGTAATGTAAGTCTATGGTGAAATGTGCACGGTAGATGATTAAAAAAATTGAAATAAAAAGCTTATGTTCAATGTTACATTTTTTTGTAGAATACTTACTCCTTTATCCATTCGTAGCACCGTGAAATGGTTGTCAGCGATAGGAAAGTGCTGCGAAACGACCATTGAATCTCTGAACTTGCAATGCATAGCCATGGAGTCTGTTTGTGGCCAAAACGGAGTACATTGCTGGGGCGCAAGGTCAATCCACAGATCAGCCGCTTCGTTCTCTTCCATGAAACGCAGATGTTTTTTCGTGTCGTTGTATACAATGAAATAAGGTAGGAGAGTCACGATTTTCGTCAACTGTGGCGACAGTTCAGATAATGTTACCTAGAAACATATTTTTATAAGATTCATGAAATGAAATAAATTTATTTTTAATTAATCTGCAAACGATATTGATACAAACTTGAAGTAAAATCCTATAGTTGATCTTCCGCTCTGTATGCGCACACACCAACAACCCTGGAGCTTCGGCGTACAAGCGCGTGGCGCGAGACCAACCAGACTGGTGAGCGCGAACTTTAACACGATCCCCTCGGCGACACATCCGCGAACCTCCTTCGCACCATAGTAACGGCTCTTCTGTTACTTCGTAACATACATCTGATCGTCCCTATTTAAATTGTAGTTTAATTCAATTATTTTGCTCGAAATTAGCTTTTAATTGAAAATAAGCAGATTCTAACGGACCACCGATTCTGCAAAACAACAGGGTCACAGAGCCGGGTCGTACGTTAAAATGATTAAACTTTAGCCTATAATCCGTTAAATATTTGTATATCCGTTAATATGTACTATATTTAACGTAATTTACATAAATTACATACACTGTTTAAAAACTATGTCAAAAACGCAGTTAAAATGAATCTGGAATACCTTCCAAACTGTTATTTACCGATATGCCTGGAGTTATTTACCTTTATTTGCAGGGGTAAACCCGTCTTATTGATGACCCAATAGGGAGCATATAGAAGTAATCTTAGAGTCGCCGATTGTTCCAACCGAGCTCGTATCACCAGCCGCTTGTTCCCACCCTCCGTCTCGCATTCTGTCGTCATACTTATCGTCTTCTCATTCATGTCTAGAGACAAAACAATCTTGCTTTAAAAGGTAATCAGACAAATTCACGTAAAAGTAATTCTTTTTATTGAAAAATCATGGAAGATTATCTCCTTAAGAACCGGGAGACTAACCTGGTGAATAAGTGAAACCCCCAGTCCACGGCAATCCCAAGTAATGCACATCTAGAGTAAACCTTATCGACTTGCCCGGCGGCAGCGTGTATAAGTGTGATTTTTCCCCAGCTTCCAATCTCACTCTCAACTCATTTTTTCCAATGTCTTCAACAGCAGTTGGTTTATAGTCCGGTGTTAAATTGGCCTGAGCTTGTAAGGCGTGAGGAACTCGATTGTGTACGGCTAGCGGTGCTACTATACGTATTAGAAGATTCGGTATTGACCTGTTGACTTTACTTGACTGACATCCTGAAATTATGAAGGGATTTTCCAAGGTTTCCAAAGTATATATTTCGAACGCGCTTGTCAAGGACATTAAATAAACAGGTCTAATTCGAAAAAAAAAAACATTATTCCTATGTATAATAAGAAAAACTATTGTTAATATTTAAGACTTCTTAGTGTATAGACTGTTTCAAAATATTTAATCAGTGTTAACAAAGGGCCTATATTTGTGCCATAGAAATAGATAAATTTGTTTACCCTCAATGGGCAATATCCTCATTGAGAATACGGTAGGATCGGTATCATCAAGAGCGGGGCAGACAATGTCTCTCGGGGTTCCGATGTCATTAATCAGGTCCATCCACCAGATACCTTGAGAATTTGCCTTAAAGCTCCTAAAACAACATTATTTCAGAAGTCAGTACCGAGTATATCGATAAAACATATCACACATCGATAAAAGTTTCTTTAAAAAAATGGGACAAAATATATGGTAGCTCAATTGTAGAGTAGCAATTCCGTATTGCTACTCTACACTTTGGATGCCGATTTGAGTCCGGCTATTGTCGTAAAATTTTCGTTCCAAAAAGATCTTTTATTACAAAAAAAAGGTCTAATATTTTATTTTAACTGATTACTCACTCAAAGTTAGTCGGCAGAACATAGAGTCGGCAATGATAGGCCACAAATAGAGGAACATTGAAGGTGTCATCCGGTGCTATCACGGCGAGGCGCAAGAGACCACAAAAAGGATTTCTAACTGAACCAACACACTTCACGCCGGCTGCTTCGAGCTCCGATTGGCGGTAGAGAAGCTCTAGAGCATACGATGTTTCGTTGCGTACCTGAAACGTGGTGACACAGACAGGTTTCGTGAATGAGAGGAGTGTGGGTAAAAAGGGGAATCTATAGATTACAGAGGACAATAAGGCGATAGCGCACCTTCATTAGAGAGACCTCTTCATTAGAGGCTGGGAAATTTCATGTTACGTCAAGTAAATCTGAATCATCCATAAGAGACAAAGAAATACAGTGTCAGGTAGAAAGAATATCCGAAAAGCCATACCTGTAGGGGTGAGCGAACGACTATCTTCTTATTATTGTATTTTGTCGTTCTTTCTACTGCTATATAATATCGGGTACCGTTTCTGCTCGGGTGTAGGACGTGTAATTTTGACACTGCACGTTGAGGACACAGAATCTGAAATTGATGGAAAATATTACATCCGTATAATATCGAGATAAATAATAATTAAAGAAGCGCTTATATAATATATCCATTATTAGTTAAAGGATATATTTAGCACATCACTTTACACTAACCGTAATTGGGTCAAAATCTTCCAGTTGGATATGCAGCGTATTGTCTGTAAGACGACGATGCAAAGCTTCCGCTGATGGTGGCGCCCCTGGGGAGGAATGTTCAGCGCCATCTGCCACATCGCAGCCGAAACCACCCTCGAAGCTAAAAGTTACAATATACAATCAACAAAAAAAGTTACAATATAAAACAACAATAAGTGGCAATTAAAGATAAAAAAAATCTCTTTCCTCTTTTCCAATAAGTTAGAAAAATATTTCAACGAGGATTCAACAGGATTTGATTAAGGCCCATCAAGCCGAATTGTAAAAACCATCATCTTTATTGCCTTCTTAATTCTTATCATCATCATCTTAAACTGTTTGAATTTGATAAAAGGTACCGCCAAATATGTTTCCTTTAGAGTTTATATATTGTTTATTTATTGGCTTAAATATATTCGTGATAGATAGAGATGGTAAAGACATAAAAGTGGTCATCCAATGTCAGTCAAATAAGAACGAAGGAATAACTTACCAGTCCCATTCATCGCTGATATCAGATATTTCTTGCTTCGTTTCAGCATCTAAGTCCTCAAGCAAGTCTGCTCCCGAGGTATCACAACCTAAAAATTTATATGAATCCTTAATACAGCTATATAATTCTACTACTACTAAGTGTAAGTAGTATAAATAAATACAATTACCCGGTGTGCTAGGGCGACTAGTGTCGAGGTCGTAATCGGCCTCGCCTAGGATCCGGTCACTGCCAGCCATGTCTGTTTCGTTCTTGCAGCGTAACTGTACTTTGGATTCAGGACCTGGATTGGACGGGATTCAAAAGTTAAAAAGTAAATAGAAAAGGATCCTTGATTTTTAAAAGTTACGATTTGGGCAGGACTTAAACGGACATTATACGGTAGCCCAATTTGTTAGCAATTGGTCAATTTATATAGCGTCACCATGTGCAATAACATGTGAACAATATTAAAGTTTTCAAATTTCATCGGTTGTTCCAAAAGTAGAAGAAATAAAGCTAAATGTAAAATTTTTCACGGTTTGGGGATTACCTATATCGTTGACAAGCATCAACCCGGGCGCTACTATGGCTGAGACTACGGATGTCCGATCCAAAAAAGCTTCAGTCAAGGTGCGAAGAGCACGCGCAGCCGACGAGCCTATCGTTATTGAGAGAAGGGATCTCGCCTCAAGCACTATGTATGTACAGAGATGATTTCCTTCAGAAGATGACTCGACGCTGTCTTCTCTCTCTGGTTCCTGTATAGAAAAACTATTCTCGTTTAAAAAAAATATTAGACTTTATATGCAAGCTGTAAGGTGAAATTACACGCAGAAGGATAAAACGATTTCCAATTATAAATTCTCGGGCGTGAATTTTCTGAAGAAATCATATCTATGTACTCTTTTTCGTGACTCAAGTGAAGGTTGATAATCCTACAACCCCGTAAATGTCCATAATTGAACATTGGAGCTAGCGCGGTAAAAAAATATATATCACTTTGAATCAATTTTTAGGATTCGTACATTAGTCCCAACGATTAGTTGCATTAGAACGGAAATTGCATGCCGTCTTATCATATAATTTTACCCGAACCGCAATAGATTTCTGTTCGTCCATATTCTTATCTCCGTCGACAAATGTTTCAGGCTGCTCTTCTTCTTTGTCGCTTTGTTCTGGTGCCGAAGAGTCATCGTCGTGGCTGATTTCTTCTGCACTCGATTCGCTACTACAGAATAAAGGAAAAGGAACTGCTTGAAATATTATATCTTGAAAAAAAAAACAACGTTTATTAAAAAGTATCGCCTTGGTAACTTGAAATGTAATGAATTTTACACGGCAAAAATGTTTTTATATTTCTTCATAATAACAATGTACTGACTGCCTACGTAGTTCAATGGTTACACGTTGGCTAGCATTGCATTAATCACAAAAAGTCCGGAGGGTTCAAATCTTGGGCAAATTTTATTGGCCAGGCAAGATACAGAAACCTGACATTTAATCTACTTACAGTGCATTTAACTAAATTACTCACTCCATAAAGAAATGACCCATAGCATGTGACATTTTATTTAACTTCTCTCCTTCGCTGTCTGAGTTGCAGTCAGCAAAATCTAACGCTCGCAAGAAAGACATACTACTAGCTTCTAAGTCAACATTATAGCCCTTATTGTCTTTGTCGTAAGGGCTTCGTATAAAGGTCATTTCGTTGTCTGTGTCGGCCTCGTCAGCCGAAGTTTCGGATTCGAACTCATTTCGCTTCTTTTTCTTCTTCTGGGTTTCAGCAGCGCAGTCTGATACCGTTTCTTGATCTTCGTTTGCGGTGAGACGTGCTGACATGGGAAAGGACTTTGCCTACGGGAAAAATTTAAAAAGAAACGTTAGATTTTTTGGATCGCATATGAAATGTTTTTTGTTTATATTTCTTTGCTATAGTGAAAAGTGAACCGAAAAGTAAACTAACCTGAAACACCGTTGCATTAATTTCCCACGGGCTTTGTTTGTTGTCCTCTACCACCGGCTCTAACAAGGGTTCCCATAGCGAGATGTGGTCGTTGTAGACACTGGCTTGGATCCGCAATGACCCGTGACCACGGGGTTCGCCGGACCAATCTGCTATTGTCATATCCGCTGACATCTGCAAAAAATCATTAGCCAGATAAGTTTGAAGGAAGTTCTCTCTCGTTGGAAAGAGATCATTGACCCTTACCTTAATTAGTAATACTGGTATCCTCAAAGTTTGTTCGATCTCAAATATGATGCGCACTATGGGTACGCTCACGACCAACGTTTCCGTCGCTTTACACGCAGGGTACTTGGGCTGCTGATAAGTATCTTCGGAGTGGAACGTAAAATATGGCGCGACCTTTCTAGGAGCCCAAAGGTCTTCCTCGTGTTTCTCCGACTGAGGATTGTATGTTGAGAAATTGAAGGGTTCTTTCTCTTCGGGTATAGTCAACTCGGTTGTCACTTCTTCGAATATATCTAAAGGAGAAAAAAAGAAAAACAAAAAATAATGGCACCCTTGAATATTTACTATCTTTACTTCATAACTTTATAAATAGGTTCTTACCTAAAATAGTGTGCACCGTTGTCGCTGCAATGTGCATATTGATCTCAGACACCGATAAATGCACTCTAACTCCTTCCTCTATACTTTTGAAGCTCTTTGCGAATTCCAAGTCGCAGGGTTTCAGCACAAGCTGAGGCGGAAGATTCTTTAACTTCGATTGCAATTTAGACATGATCTGAAGGCCTGCTAAGGAGATCACTAGCGTTTCCGTGTTCGAGTGGAACGAATAATCAACGATAAGTTCTGTTCTGAGCAACAGAGCGTGACCTTCGCTTCTATTCATATCTGTGAAGAACATAATTTCAGGTTGCCGGCACTGGATGGAAATCGCAAGGCTCGGTCTGTCTTCGGAAACCGATGTCGCTAAAAATAATGTTTTATCCGTATTCAATACATACATAGACATTCGGAATAGTTCAAGGACTCTGATGTATTTTTAATAATTATTACTTAAGGCTAATATTACATTATTACCCGTAGAATAATAACCGCTCGTGGAATCACTGGAGCTCGGGAACCGGCCCCCTCTGTTGTTGTTACCTCTGTTCGGTGGATCGCCTATATACCCATGGTTCACAACACCACCGTCGATATTTTTGTCACCTAAACATTAAGAAAACTAGTAGTATCAACCTGACATAATACATATTAACTACCATATTCTACTTACCTGGCATAGCGCTTAAAAGAGTTCTCACTAAATTAATCAGGAAGGGCGGCGCCAAGTTAAGTCGCGTCCTCTCCACTCTAACGTCGACGTTAATGGCGCGAGACGAGCGTCGCACCGCCACTTCGAGTAACGCCGGCCGCATCACCGCTATGCCTCCCGTCGAGCGAGATCCTCCCCCTTGCGACTGAAATATTCTGAAAAGACGAGTAGCGTTAAATTCATCTGACGTTTTCGACGTCAAAAAACTTTTTATGTTGCGCTGTATAGATATGAATTGAATGTAAATAAAAATTACAGACCGCCTAATAGTTATGCTGGTGTCGGCCCTAATATCTTCGATAAGCATGCTCTGCAGGCTGGCTTTCATCTCGATACTATTATCAGAGAAGTATTCAAACGCGACAGTCGTTTCGCCGGCGGTCAGTTTCGCCAAGCCGTGATTGAGGTCGCGAACTGGAGAACTGAGAACTTCGTCTAGATCTGAGAAAAGTTTCAATTCTAGACCCTCTAACGTGAACCTGAAATTATTAATATAATAACATTAAATATAAAAATTAAACAACGAAGTAAATTTTTCTAAACTTATTTTAACCTCATAACTGATTCCTTTCGGACAGGTTCTCCTTGAGCGAAGAACGCTTGCAGCTTTTTGACTTGCACATCCGTCGGCGCTAGTCCGATTGGAGAGGTGGGTACGATCATACCTAATGAAATGAGAAATATAATCAATAATTAAATAATTACTGACTAATGTCGACAGTGATGAAGAAGAAAAAAAGAAGTTTTAGAAATATACTAACCAATATAATTCCCTTCGCTCAAATTGTCGCTCCACACGGCAAAAAGGGTAGCCAAATCCTTTTGTCCTACATTTATATTAACGGTGTCCATAATAATGTCCGCTTCGCAAAGAAGCAGGTCTCTGTAAGCGGGGACGTTGGACACTTGCGCATAACCAATTGTACGTTTCAAATCGCATCGAACCGATATGGATTCTAGTATAGGTTCCTGAAAACGATCAATTTATTAGGAAATCTTTCTTGGCTCTGTAATGTATTGTTGAATTGCTCACCTGAACTTCTAAAGTACCAGCTAAGGTCATAACAGCCCTCGTCAAGGTTATGTTGTCTAACTTGAAGAGAACATTATCTATGATCGGGCTCTGTATAGGACTGGTTGCGTCTAGGCTTGTCTTTACTGGTTTGAAGAAATTTTCAATCATCAAGTCACCTACAAAAAATGTCGTCATCATTATCGCTGATGCTACCGAGCACTCACTTGTTGATTTTGTGAAATACATACCTAAGTTTAAAACTAGCAGATTCGGTGAAGACGGTTTCTGGGGCAGTAATAAAACCGGTGCATGAATCTAAAAGAAAGAAACGGTTGTGTAATGTACATATAGTATAGTACAGATATAGTAAAGTATAGTCAGAAAGTCACCTCGATAGCTAGGCTAACTCGAACAACAGAGGTGCGAAGTTCAGCGGCTTGCTCGTGGGCGGCTTTTTCGGCGGCGACGGCTGCCTCTGTGGCCGCCGTGGTTGGAATTAATAATTCCATAAATTGCTGAAAATATATTTAATTTCCTTATTTACTAAGTATTTAGTAAGTTGCATTCGACTGGATCAAATCATAAGCGTACCTGCAAATTGTAGACGAGTGAAAAGAACAGAACGACGTGCAATCTTCCAATATACACGCGTAGTTCAGCGCGAGGCCTCGATTCGACATAACTCGACGAGCGAACGTATTTCATCTCGAGAACCTTGTCTTCATCGGGCCACACCAGCTGAAGCGTGATTGTTTAATTCTTAGACGTACACATATACAACAATATAATATACAACAAACGACAAGTAGAGATCCTAAAGATCCTAAAGATTATTGGTTTCCTAGCGTTTCAAGGCCGACCTTGAAATCTAATTAATATTTTCATTTAGGTCAAAACTGCGGTGTTACCTTGGGGTACAGTGTTGCGTCGGACAGATCGTCAACTTGTAGAGAGCCCAAGAATAAACGAAAGACGAGACGATCATTTGCGCGAAAGACGCAGTCGCTTTCGAGTCCTTGGATGCGCCACTCCACGGCCCCCTCCGTCTGACTCGCTCGAATATGGATGCACGACATTCTAGTGGCAGGATGGATGAAGCACTTATATTAAGAATAGAACATTTCCAAGGTAAAGTCACTACATTTTAGAACGATCCATGGAATGTCAAATGGCAATATTAGTAGGATAAAAGTCAAAGATGATCATTTAGACAAGAACGCTTACCGCACAGAATAACTGAATTTGGTAGCCCCCGGAGGAACGGGCGGATCGATTTCAGGCTGCGTCAGAAGATCCCAGAATTTCTTTGTCTTCGGGAGCACAACGCTGCTGACGTTCAGCGAGTGTCTTTTTTCAATCCTGAGAGAACCATTAAAAATTTATCAACTCAGATAAAACATTTTAATTGTCAATACAAACATTTAAAGTAGTTTCATTTGTGCTTTTATTTACAAGCAGTTAGTTTATCATATTTGTGTGCCCTGCCCATCCGAAAAAATGTTTTGTTTGCACGGGTGTCGAACCCGACACCTTTCGTGCATAACATTGCTAAGCAATACGCATTGATCTATGAAGATGGTGATTCGCATAAGCCTTATATATTAATATTAGCCATTAAAATACTTACTTCCTTTGAATATATTCAAGATATTTAATGATAGTGGCGAGGGCCGGCGCGTGGGCAAGGATTGATATGTCGCCCGTATCAGCTACCAAAGCTTGCTCAACGTTGTGGAAGTGAGACCGGAACTCGGGACAATTTGCCCGCACCTAGGAAATATTTTACAACTTTTTGGTATTTCCTATTTAAATAACCTTTTTTATCACTAAAATTACAAATAAAAGTAGTGAAAATAACCTATACAATATAATAGTAATAAGCTAGAATGTGTTTAATTGGACAAAACCGCCTATCAACCACAAACTCACTTTTCTGCCAACATTTTACGTAACATAGCTATTTAAAACATTGTAAATCTTTATCGTCTTTACCTTGCGATACAGCAAGTTGAACAGCTCGCCATTGCTGGTCAGAAGCTCCAAGTATTGGCCGGTGCTGCTGTGGTGATGTTTGTCAGTGAGCAGAGCGGAATCCACCGAGAGTTGAACGGCAGGGCCATAAGCCATAAGGGCCACATCCAGACAAACCTTGGTGACGCTCAACATGATGTAGGGTCTGTCCACTTCATCGTAAGAACGATTGAGATTTATTACTATTTCTCCTGCAAACCAATTAACAATCATTGTGCATAATATATGAATAGATCTGTGTGTATGTGTGTGTATCTAAGTACAACAGGAATTAGGCAGTGATTAAAACAAAAAAGAAACAGTTTAATTTTTTTTCAAATTTTGTTTATTAACGCTTTAATAGAGGAAGGCATGATTTGCAAAATAAGTGGAAATTAAGGTATACAGTCTTACGATAAAAACAATCTGTGTTGTAGTAATTGTTATTACTGTTCAAAGAGTTGTTACTTTTTACGGAAATTAGATATATTGTTGTCAAAAACGTTCAACTGGCAACAACTGCGTGAAGAATACTCGTTATGTAGTCTACATGTACATACCTATGATAAAGCGAAGAAGCGTGCCAATATTATTACTGGGAGAAACATTGTCGTCAAAGCCAGGCAGATCGACGGATCTTGCGTATTCTTCGACTTCCTCATCGCTGATGTCAGCCGGTGGTAAGCTTTCTACGATCGGAGAGTGATTTTGCCCCCCATCTGCTTGACTTTCAAATTCCCTGTAAAAATCCGCTCGACTAAATGTTTATTTCTCAACTTAATTTTCCAGTTACAATATATAGTACATACCTATTTCTACTAAAATACGCAGACACAATCTTCCTCCTCAGTTTGACTAAATCACCGTATCCCGGATCAGCCAGAACTCGATCGAGTTGTAATGTCTCAACCAAATCGAGGTCAAGAAAGTCCTCCATGTAATCTCCTGAGTCCATAAAGGAAACGGGAACGGTGTTAGGAACGGGAATCGGCAGGTTATCAAAGAAGTCCAGCAGGAAACCGATTATTCGATCCGATATATTTAACTTGAGACTAGACAACGATATATTCAGTTTGTATCTGAAAAAAAAAATAAAAAAACAAAACTAAAAATTGAAGACAACTGACACTTTACAATACTAAATATTATGGCACTTCAAAAGAATGTCTTTTGAATGCCTTCACAATAATAAGTTCTAGAAAGGCCAATGCTAGCATGGTATAATATTTTGACACTTACCTAGGTAAAAGTTTGTAGTCTTTTCTGATGCTAGTTGAAAATACCAACGAACTCTTAACGCGGGGAATAAGATGATATTCAGAATCACCATGTTTTTGAGACTCACGCCAGGGTTCGTTCCAATCGCAAAATAAAACCTACGAAAATCCCATTTAAAAAAATGTTGCGGTTAATTTAAAAACGGCTATTATACTGTTTGATATTGAGGTAAGAGTTACCTGAAAAGAACATTCAGCGTGGAAGCGATCATAAAGTTTTTCCTCCAACTCCATACACGTAGCGTCTTCCAAAACTAAATTAGAAGGTTGCAAGTCTGTCTTTACTATGATACGATTGACATCAAATATTACCACTCGACCCGGCCTAGAAATAATTAAATATTTATTAATACATTCTATAAACACCTATAAGTTTCTCTAAACGGGGGCTGTAGACTTAATTTAAAAAACGTACTTTTGTAGACACCCATGTTCCGGAATTATGAGACAAGGTCCCTTTATATCGACATTAAGATTGAACACCTTCTTTCTACTGATGGCATATGCAAGCACAGATTTACTGACGGTCCCAGCTCGCTCCATGACCAACGAGACTTCGTCCAACAAGTCTTCGGATGTCATAGAATGAGTTTGAAAGAAGTTGATTATTTCCGTGACTCCATGCTGAAAAAACAAGAGCACAAATTCGAGAACCATGCAATTAGACTAATATATACAATAATATAATTATTACCTCTATATATACAAGTTCTAGCGGTTCCATGAGACAAGTTACAGCCAAATCGGCATGACTGTTGATTGGGTTTCGTTCAACGTCCAGGGCTAGAGCAGTCCCAAGGGAACTCTCTCGAGCCGTTTTAAGGAAATGAACCAATTCTCCGTCTGATGACACGCCCTCGACCACCACGTTATCGGCGCGGATTGATAACTAGAAAATAGATTTTTAATAATAATAAAAGATATAATCGTACTAGCAAACCACGGTGTTTACTGATAAAGAGGGTGTTTAATTTTGGTAACAAACCATACTAAAACACTTATTACTTCGCTTAAGGGAAAACCATCTACAAAGCATTTGCCTTCTACAAAAAATAGGCCTTCGGTTAGCGCTACTTAAATCACCTTGTATGCCTTAGCCGAGGGTCTGGTTTCTAATGATGCAAGAAACTGAGTCAAAGTTACAACTAAGACTTCCTTATTCCTGTTCATTAACGTCATGGAACAATTCGCCAATGTCAGGTTTATTTTGTGCTCTGAAACAAATTTAAAGATTATTTAAGGGAGACGCACATATACGACATGACAATAGAATAAATCACTGTACAAATCGACTAACCGATACATTGTTTAGACTTTTCTTTACTCGGAACTCCTTCCACGTGCCCAATAAGCTCACAGATTTTTCTCTTTTCAGGACTTGAAAGGTGACTCCATAACGTTTTATTTCTTTCAGTTTTCACGCAGAGCTCGGCTCGCGATTTTGCTTCGCCATCGTTGTCAGGTTCGGAATCCGACAGTGGGTTCCACCAGTCGAACTCCGTTTCGACTATTTCAATCCTATCCGGTTCTTGTGACAGGAGCTGAAAATTATACGTTGTTATTATAATTGTAATCTATACGAATATTATAAATGCGAAAGTAACTCTGTCTGTCTGTCCAGCTTTAACTCCGACATTACTGAACTTATTTAAATCAAATTTGGTACACAGATCGTCTAGACCCTGAGAAAGGACATAGGGAGTGGAAGTGAGAGTCAGAGTGGGATTGAGTGTAGGAATGAGAGTGGGAGTTAGAGTTTGAGTGATGTGAGGTGAGAGTGTTGCGGCAAAGTAGCACTTACAGCATAGATTGGCTGCCATAAATGCGCCCTTACATAAATTAATAAACAGTCTAAATAATTAAAAATTCTACCCCAAGTCACTATTCCACGCGGACGAAGGCGCGGGCACAGCTAATTAATTATAATTATGATACTGCATCAATGTCTTTATTTTACTCCATTAATTTACCTCAAACTTAGCTTGTTCCCTTGCTATGACCACAGACATAATCGGCAAGTTGTCCTCGCATTTTTGTAAATCCATTTTCAACTCTATATCGTTTGGGCTCCGCAAAAGACTCTTGTAAGTCTTTTTATATATGCTGTGATTGTCCCTGTGTTTCTTGATAGCCGCCCACGTATATGGGCGTACACGCTGCTCTAGAACGACGTTATAAGCGTACTTCCACCATTTTTTTTTATTAGTGGTCAGCGGTACGCCAGGATGGAGGTGGCGGTACTTCCTAAGAAAAATAATAAGTCGAATTGATTTAGTATCACTGTAATATTAGCGAATAATAGAAGTGCCAGTACCTACCTATTCAATTGAATTCGATTAAAAGAAGCCAATAGATTGTCGATAGAGAGATACTGTCGCCTGGAGAGATGGAACGCGCTGTCTTGTAACATGGCATCAACCAGCAGTCGAGGTACCCTCGCTTCGCCAGAACGGTTGATTAGAACTTTAACTTTGCATGTAACTGGCTTTAGAACTGAAACATAACTCTTACTTTCAACAAGTTGCTTCAAAAACCCTGTCTAACATATGATATTTCAATAAAACCCTAAATATGCTTTGCGGTAGCCGCGGCTACGGGGGGTCGCATGCTTTCGAAATGTCAGGTCGAAGTTAAAATAAATTAAAAGGAACTTAATTCATACATATCGCGTTTTAAACCAGTAAAAGGGTTTTATTTAATGTGTAGATGAGAGAAAACGTAACAAGTTATTCGAGTTCACCAATACGACTGTAATAATTTTTTTATCATTGATTTATTTTATTTCTTAATTGATGCATTTGTTCGTGTTGCACTTCACTTATGTTAATTCCCCAGAAATTATTTGTTTTTGCAATACACTTTATTTAAAAAATGCTAAACTATGTAAACTAAATGTAAAAGTTGATATACCTAAGTACATTTGTACATACAAAAAATACTTCCTTAGAGATATTAAGTACAAAAATAAACTTACGAAACTCAAAATCTTCGTGGTGCATCGAGAACTTGTCCAAACCCGTCAGCATATAATGTTTCCAGTTATAATATTGCATTGGTGTTATATGAGCTATCTCCTTATCGTCTAGCGCAGTGGCAGTCGGGTTCCAGTAGAGGGATAGAGACTCCACGCGCATCATTTGATACACCGTGGCAGCGTTCGCGGGTGTAACTGAAGGTTTCCACTTGCTGAAAATTAAGTAGACCAGGGCGTTGCAATTTTATGACCGTTCCGTACCTCCGCTTATTAAAGTGTTGTATATGTTATTATGCAGCAAGCGATAATAATTACGGTCTGAATGCTCCGTTACAATAAATTATGCATTTATATAATAGTGTTTTTAAAACAGATAATACAATAGATATTCTCCAAATTTCATAAATTAAAGAATAATCAAATGACTTTTTTAATAATATGGTTATTAAACACTTGACCGTAATTTGAAGCCTACATGATTGAGAGAGGCGCTGTTTTGTTTCCGCTTAGTATATTGACTCTCCAATATTTGCCTTCCGTTTCCGCTCACCAGGTGTCGTGTGCTTCCGGTTGTGTCAACCGAATACCTAGTCTACTTTTTCGATGCACACGCTTTTGCTCTCCATTGGCGTCAAAATTTCCGCAGAAGGAGGTTGTCCCCTCAGAACCAGCAACCTCTCCGAAATTTTTGTGCTTAGTTATTAAAAGTGTTAAAAAGTGAAGTGTGCTGTTTCGTCGAGCAGTAAGTTTTCATTCCTTATATTTTACACGTGTTAAAATTACAAAATGTTATGTTCTTATAGCTTTTTTCAAGTGATATTTTATTCTAAAGTATTATTTTAACGGTGTTACCGTTCGGCCAACGTGGCAGTGAATAGAAGTAGTAGTACTTTACGCTAAAGCCTTCCTATAAACGGTTTTATTGCTTGAGGGGTTCGTATTCAAACGTTTTAAAGCAAAAGCTTATAAAATTAAGAATTTATTTTCTTAATGTATATTTATCATTTCCTAAAGGGCAGTGAGTAGAGTAATAATTATTTCTTTTTATTAGGATGGATGCACATTTCGATAAATCCGAATGGTGCGACGTTAGATACGCCGTTCAAAAGTCTTACATTTGTACACTGGTCTTCACTGACCTAGAAATAAATGACGAATTAAAATAGTTTGATATATATCATAATTTATCTAAGGTAGACAGACATAAGGTGCTTTAACTTTCGCCGTCCTAAAACAAAGAGACGCGCTTCAATCTCGAATGTCAGAATAAGTTAACTGGGCCCAAGAGTCCGGTAGTATTTCAGTAGACCAGTTCTTGGCTAACGTAACTGAAATATTTTCAAACGGTGAATACTACAAAGTATCATCGGACTTACTTCAAATAATCTGTGGACGTCGAGCTGAATCGATTGAATTACGTAGGGACGGCTTTTTGAAGCATGTAAGGGAACCCTTACGAAAAATACCACCCTCAAATAAATATATTTTTAATCCTGAACAATTGACTGCGGCGCTTAAAAAAGCTGGTGGTACTAGAAAAGCCTTCTTACCCATGAACAAGTATTCAGGTAGTTCGAATTCAAAGTTCGAACCGTGGCGCAAACGGATACAATAAAAATCCCTCATTTCACTCCCAGAGGGGCTATGATTAACTCACCCGCGAAGGGTGTCACGGAGCCAGCATATGGCTGTAATTCGCAGTCTCATACTTTTAGGCCTACGCAGGGCTCTAACTACTATCGTTCCACGCAGGGACATGATTTTAATGAAGATCAAGGGGTGCCTCGATGAACTTTCGAAATTCCTTTCGTCAACGAGACGGTCATCCAGGCAATGCTACACACGAAGCTTTCACTGCAGGTAAGAAAAGACCGGTGTCTTCTGACCATAAGAAAGGAAGTTAGCGGGGCCATTACTGACAACCAATTTCTAGTGGGCTACATTACGTGGTTCGATGGGAGCAGTGCCAGTGCAGGTGCCCCACAGCCCCTGATCTATATTATAAAAGGTTATCGAATTCCTTTCATAACCAAACCGCCACATTTAATGCCAGAAAATCAACGGATTACATTAGAATCAATGACAACATCAGCGGCCATTGCCCAGATGTTATCTCAGAAGGTTTTAAAGCAGGTTCCAGCCTCACCAAGCTTCGTTTCACCAATATTTTTGGTACCAAAGCCCGATGACAGAGATCGACCTATTCTGAACCTTAGCTTAAAAGCCTTAAACAAATTTGTCAAAACAAAGCCTAAATATTCTTAGAGTGCCAGATTTCCTTCAAACAAGAGACTGGCTCTGCAAAGTGGATTTGTCCCAAGCCTACTTCAACGTGCCGATTGCCAGATCGCACCGAAAGTTTTTAAGACTGATATACCAAGGGCAGTTAATGGAAATGACATGTTTACCGTTTCGTCTCAGCACGGCTCCCAACGTTTTTGCATCTCTAACAAACTGGGTGGCACAAACACTGAGAAAAATGACGAGACGATGTCTGGACCCTCAGGCACTCATACAAATAACCGACGAAATAAATCGCGCTCTTAATCTGTCTCGTCGTCGTCCTCGTCTTCTTCCTCGGAGTCTGATCACAAACGTAGTCGTCGACGACGCGTTTAAAAAAAAAAAAAAAAAAAAAAAAAAAAAAAAGGGGGGGCGAATATGGCTCAAATAACGATGATATATTATATAAACTATCCAAGGATCTAAACGATCTTCGCCAAAAAGTGTTTGAAGGCTGTGGCATTGCACAAACAAACAATTTATACCAGTATCGCGATAATGACGAAATTTCAATTATGGTAAATAGTGATAGATCTCGTTATGAACAGGAATCGTCTCCTAAAGCGACAGTCAAAATCGATTTAAAATGAATTTCGAGATTAAACTAAAGGAACCTACAACTCCGTCGGCTCTTAAAAATTATCTTAACCTCTTAACTAATATGCAACATTTCGAGGGAATAAGAGTACTAGTATGCTTAGACGATTTCTTGATAGCTCACCAGGACTACAATGTACTCTGCAGGCAGGTTCAAATTGTATTAGAGCGTCTAAAATATTTAGTCTGGAGAATCAACACGGAAAAGTCGATAACCGTTCCAACGAAATCGCTCGTGGTTTTAGGCATACACTGGAACCCATGGCTCAACAAAAAGTCGATTCCAGAGAGCAAATCAATACGGCTTCAGAAATTTTGGGCATAACTTCAATAAGTGCTTTTCAAAGCCTAATAGGACTGTTAAATTTCGTCAGCTTTGCTGTAACACAAGGCAGATTACACTTCCGAAATGCTCTTGTATTCCTAAACAGGCAACTAAAGGAATCGCTCGTACACGAAACTGTCATTCCTCAAAAGGTAAAAGAGGATCTTGTTTGGTGGCTTGCAAATCTTCGAAAACCTGCTTAATACATTACCCGCTCCCGTCACACTTCATGACAACCGATGCATCAGATATAGCATGGGGTGCTCAAATCGACGATTGTTTACTGTGTGGAGCATAGACAAACAAGGGACAGAAGCTTCATTGCAAAGCAAAAGAAATGTTGGCAATTCTGAAGTCACTCACATTGCTAGTTGCAAGGATAGCCAACTCAACGCTACTAGTCCAGTGCGACAACAAGACTGTTGTAGCCTTCCTGAGGAACGAAGGTGGAACAAGATCTCCTTCTCTTTTGAAGTTCACAAAGCAAATTTATCAAATTCTCTATTCTCACAAAATTTATCTGAGAATACATCGTATACCAGGAAAGTACAAAAGTCACGCAGATCACCTATCGCGTCACCGGACTCCGCCAGAATGGCACCTTGTGCCTCAGTGTACGGAAAAAAAAAAAAAAAAAAAAAAAAAAAATACGTGAAGTTCGGTGTTCCGGTGATAAGCTTGTTTTCCTCGATGTGTGCAAAGGTGGTAGCAAATTATGTGTCACTAGACCTGAAAGACCCTCAAGCTCTGTATCACGATACTTTCTCCCGAAATTGGCATTTCCCCCTAGCGTGGGTATTTTCACACCCATTTCTGATTCCGAAGGTCACACCTGAACTCGGCAGTCGGAATGTATCTCTTGATAGTACCAAAATGGGAGAAAGTATTTTGGAGGCCGAATTTGAAGGCCCGAGCTGTAGCACCTCCTCATACAATAAAAAAGTTACACTTATGCCCCATCGATGCGGTAACAGGATTAGCTTCACCCCAGGTGACATGACAATGACAATGGAAATATGAAAATGTGGGGGTGGACAAAAAATTTGATTAACTAGAATACAGAACAGATAAACCTTTTAAAGACCTCTTGGCGTGATTCCACCAGAAAGACCTGCGCATGGAATAGGTGGATTAATTGGAATAAACCCCGAGGTCTCAACCCCTTACATCCTACTGGAGAAGTTTTAGCTCGATTTCTGGCAGATCCACATGTTGTGGAAGGTCTGGCTTACAACACAATTAAATACTGTCTATAGTTTACGCGAGTAGTACACATTTAAATAAAACACTTTAACGGTTTAAAACGCGATATATTAGTTAAACTTATTTGAAAATGATTTTTAACTTCGGCCCGACGTTTCGGATGCTTTGCAGCAGCCGTGGTCACGGGGAGTCTCCCCGCGTTTTGAACCGTTAAAGTGTTTTATTTAAATACAACACAATTGTTTTACATAAATCCGTTGTCGCGACCTTATGTAATTCCGACGATTCTGGAAAGTTAAGCAATCATGTATTAGTAAATCATATATTGAAATCGATCGCTTTAAAAAAACCGATTACTAGAAGGCCACAGATTTGGGACATTGATATAATTTCTTTTCTTAAATCTTATACTATAGATGAGGCTAATGTTTTTCAATCGTGCAGACATACAGCTCTATTACTAATTCTCTACTCTGGCAGAAGGATTCATGATTTGACTCTTTTAGCAGCTGATTCAAAACATATGCACCAAGGCAATGGCCATGTTATATTATAGCCCATCTTTGGTCCAAAGACCGACACGGCTACTTATAGACAGTCCGGCTGGAACTTGTTAGCAAATTATTCTCATAAAAACTTAGATCCAGTCTTCTGGGTAGGTCATTGTACCACGTTATTAAGGAAGAAACGAGAAGAAAGAAACCTAATAAACTTATTTATAAACATAAGGAGAAAGCCAAAAGCTGCTTCCCGTACATTTATCGCGGGCTGGATAAAGACCCTACTTGTTGATGCAGGAATAATGGCTTCACCGGGCAGCCTACGTTCTGCAGTGGCGTCTAAAAATTCGTCTGAAAACTTTGGAGATCTCTGAACACATTTGCTCGTTTTTATTGCAAAGAAGTGGTGCTAGACTAGATAAAAATCTCACAATATTCAAAGTATGTTTCCTCCGATTGGATAAATAGATGGTAATTTGAATTTATTAGGCTGGTTATATTTCTAAGTTATTTCCACCCTTACAAATACCAATTTGTAAACTATGTAGAAATAATACAAGTTGATTACAACATAGTGTTATGTTTTTAAAGAAGGCAAATAAATAAGTCGTCTAGTATTTTTGCCTCTTTTCATTAATTGTTCTTGGTGTTCTTAACTATGATAAAATTGTAACTAATCGTTCACATTGGCGTCCCTAGTCACCAGGTGATATCAAACACGTCTCAATCATGTAGGCTTCAAATTACGGTCAAGTGTTTAATAACAGTGTTTTACCTGAAAATAAAACACATATTAAATACTTACCTATATTTGAAGCCTACAATTTAAATTCTACCTGGTGATGATTTCGACGCAATGGAGAGCAAAAGCGTGTGCATCGAAAAAGTAGACTAGGTATTCGGTTGACACAACCGGAAGCACACGACACCTGGTGAGCGGAAACGGAAGGCAAATATTGGAGAGTCAATATACTAAGCGGAAACAAAACAGCGCCTCTCTCAATCATGTAGGCTTCAAATATAGGTAAGTATTTAATATGTGTTTTATTTTCAGGTAAAACACTGTTATTAAATTAAATATTTAAGTTTACTTTCATATATTATATCTTATTTCATACCTTTAATTTGAATACATAATTGTCACGTAAATTATATTAAGCTGTTTTTTTCTGATATTGAGCTTATATTATTCATTTAGTTGGTAAGCCTCTTTAAAATAAATATGTAAATAAAAAAAATACCTATTTGTCGTCTCGATGGACAAACTTTGCAAGCACAGCCCACAGGCCAACGGTCCATCTTTCGAACTGATCGAGTCTTCATACCTCACGTGAACATTGCGGATATAAATCTGAAGATTGTTCACGATCGCTGTGAATAAGTTTTCAAAGAAATTCTGCGGTCCCTTCAGGATTTCGCTTTCGGCTTCTAAGTCCTGCAGAATCTTTCGTTTCGCCGCTCTGGTCAATCGCTTTTCCCTTTCAGGATCGAAATAGCTGTTGGAAATAGCCGGTCCGACCAATATGAGAACGTCTTCTATGTGGACCACTACCGGCTGAGTGTACAGCCCAGACCACGGAATCTGCAGATTGATCTTTCCGATTGTCCCGATTTTCACATCGATTGGTAGATCCAACTCATACTAAAAGGTTTGAATAGTGTATTAAAATAATGTTTATTTTATGTTCGTGTGAAATAATTATTATTGACCCGCACTTTGTCTATTTAGTGTTCTTGGCATTAAATTGGGCCGACACATATCTCCGAACGATTTCTGAGCTAACTATGAAATAAATAAAGTTAGAAACCACAAAGACGTAAAGTAAGAAAAATTCAAATTTTAAAGCTTGTTCTAATGTTTCCCCAGAACTGCAACCTAAGACCTTTTGTGCTCGTCTCTATGACTATAATAAACGAGTAGAGTACAGCAATAAAAAAACATACCAAAGCTTCAGGCTTCAACTTTAAATCAATCAAATTAACATTGCCGCTGAAAATGCCCACATTAAGATTCTCCGTATCGAGGTCTTGGACGTATTTTCCGAGAAGCCGGTTAAGGATACCGGCCACTGCGCCTTCGAACATGATGGCTCCAACTATTCCTGAAAAGTTGTACCTACTTGTGATTAAATTAATAAATAAATAATTATTTTATAGTAGTAGTAAGTATACACTGAAGGATATCTATATAATATAAACATGTATTCATATTGACTATATTTTGTAATGAAGAAAGAATCGTTAAAGGGTTTGCAATTGTTTAATTAGTTTTTTGGAACCTTTGATTTGTATTTACAAATTAATGAGGACATCGGCAATTTGTTAAACAACAATAGTTCTGGTTGTATTACACCGTACTAACACTGTATTTATTAAATTGTACGTTTTCATATATTTTATCTGATAAAGAATTGATAATAGCAGAACGTCAAACAAATAGTTGGTGACCAATGGCTCATAATGCAAACATATTTTGAACAAAAGACGAAGTTTTTTATTGGCAATTGCGATATAAGGTGTAAACAAAGATAGAGTGGACAAGGGGGAAAACGGTCACGCGAACTTTAGCACGCAAGCTCCCTGCGTCTTTAACGTTAAGTTAGAACTGCGAATTCAAGAAAGCACAGCAAATAGTGTAAGTTTAAGAGAAATAATAATGCTTTCTATTCCTTGTTTCCAAAAAACAATTGTAATATTCCCTATGTGGACGAATAAAATAAGTGTAAGAAACAAAACGCATTCCCTTCTGCCTATAAGTTGAACAGGAGCTAAAGATTTGTCGATGAGATAACAGCGAGTGATATCAATTAAGATTAAAGGTCACGGCCCCTCGAGGCAAGCCAATAGTGCGCAAGGATAACAATTTCCAAGCAAAATATTAGAAAGTTGAAATAACTCTAAAAAATGTGCATTTCCTATCTTTATTCTAAAAGAAATACATTTTGTAATAATACAGCTACTACGAATATAATCGTAAAAATGTAATACATAATTGCCTTACTCTATAGCTAATAACTAGATTCAGAATGGTAACTAAGCTAGGTCACTAAGGTTCAAAAAGTAGGCACCTTACCTTATATTGTGCTTTTACAATTTTTTCCATAATTGAAACATCTGCGGTCAAGTTTTGTTTTAATGACGTCAAAACCTTTGAAGGGAATGAATGTTTTTGACACGATATTGTCAGTAGGAAAGTACGCATGCGCGTAAAAAACGGTCATGCGTACCTCCCCACTGAATAATCTGGAATGATATATAGTCACAATCTAACTCTAATAAACCAATTGCAAATGTAAGGAAACTAAAAAGGAAGGTAGGTATCGGCTTTCATCGACTTTCATTGTAAAGACAGTCATTACAATCCCGTCTCCTTAAATCAACATATCAGGTTCAGAAATCTTCTCTGATATAGGAAAGATTAAAAGTCTATTTAAAATAATAAGAAAAGCCGTTAAATATATTTTCTTTATTTCATGCTTTTATATACATAAATAAATCTTATGGAGATCGAGGCAAGGCTAGACAAGCGTTGCAGGAACCAGTCGGAATTTGAGGTTCAAAGCAGTCGCCCGGACACACTGGGCAACTGGCAGCAAAATGTCGAGGGTATTCGCAGTGTGACGCTGTGGACCACTCCGACGGTAGACCGTTCTGCAAAAATTAAACACGATTACTGGACTTATCGTATCTTTACCCTTAATGGTCGACGATGTCCCTTCATTTGAAGTAATAATTGGTATCAACTAACCAAAGAAAGACCAGAAAATTTTACCTTAATGAAGCTCGCCAACGAGCACTGCATGACATCATAGGCTGGGCAGTTTAGATGAATTCCCTGAGCAGGTAGGCTGCTGCCTAAACAAGCGCTCTTCACGTGATTCACCGCTGCAGACCACGATGGATGTTGCTTAGCAAAATCGTCAAAAAAGCTCCGTATCTTCACCTCCTGTAGCTTATTATCAACGATCCAGCCAGATTGTTCGAAAATACACGTCATTCTATCGCACTAAAAAATATTTAGGTTAATAAAATATTTACAACACAAGTTTTATATATTAACTTTTTAACTTTATAAATGACACATAAACTAAACGCACCTGAGTCGCACCCCTATTTTTACATTGTTCAGAAATTTCGGGTTTCACTATTTTTGGCATGCTGAGGCAGGAGAAAATCTGTAACGAGCATGTATGAAAATTACATATTATTCTCATTAATAAGCGATATTCTGATACTAACTTACCGCTCTAGGCATAGGTCCGCATCGAACCGGGGAAACGGCTATATCTGCGTGGTTTATCTAAAGGGATACAAAACAATTGAATATTAAAACAAATCTAAAGCTTACTCATTACATTATATCTAACTCTAAATAGAATTTAAAAGACAGGGCTTAATTTTATTACTTACCTTAATTCCAACGCAGAATAAGGTTACTAGGAAAAGAAACATTGTTAATTAGAAAATGTCTTGCGTCTTCCAATGGCCACAATATAATGATCAATAAACCTGCATTCGTAAGTAGACTATGTTTTTCTTAGGCGTTAATCATAACATTTGAGGTCAAGAGATTGTCGTTTTTAAAACAAACAATATTATCTAGACTTTAATTAAGCAGTAGAAATAGTTTGTCTGTACATTTATTACTAATAATAATACCTACCCAGAGAAAAAGCTACTTTTGTCTTCTTGTGATGTAAAAGCCTGTTACAGGTCATGCAATTTCTATTATTTTAGTATAGATTTTAGTTGTGTTTGAATATATTTTTTTTTCAAAATTAATAGAAATATTTAAATAGTTAAGTTCTTTCAACAGCTTCTATAAATCTCTAGAAATATTTGACCTGCAATTTATTTTACCATTATTTAACATAACAAAATGCAATGCAATAAAACAATTATCATTGTCCATAGAATGTATTGAAAAATGGTACATTAAACATTTTGTTAGAAATTCTGATAATATATTTAAAGATCTCACAAATGTGTTGTCACCCTAAACATACAATATTAGGCTTTGTTAGTTAATAGTACTAAATTTAATGATCTTGTTAATTATATTTACCTTGATAACATAATTGAATGCCCCAAGGCACCTCTGCAGTGAACCACTTAAAACCAGCTCAATAAGTAAATGTACAAGGTCAATCCTCATCACTCATGTCAAAGAAATCTACATCCAATAGTGGAGAGTTGTCCTCATCTGTACTCAAGGGAGGTGGTCTCACCTCAAAATGAGGGTATTTAGGGTGCCACCAATCATATACATACCACTTTATTACAGAATCCAGTACAACAATTTGTGAGGGAAAACACTTGCCTGCATCATGAGGACTACTAAAGCCCATTTCAAGTTTCAATCCAGGCGATAAATATGAAAGACTAAATGTGGACAGAGTCATACCCATGAGAGGAGGAATATTATAGACATGCTTGCACCAGATCTGGAATACAAATCTTGTTATAGATACTTTATAGTAACTTCTGAAAAGAAGTCACATCATGTGATAAAAATAACTAAATAGCAAAATGGAAAGTTGTGAAGAAGAGAATAGTGTTGAAGAGTTATATATTATGTATGTTAAAACAACCAAAATTATAAATATGTTTTAGAATGTGACAGCAATGGTAGTACCTGCAGCACTTTTGTGTCTTGCTCTGTATTTGCATCAACTCTTCCTTCATTATTATTAATCATGTTATGGTTTATGGGCTTATGCTTCCTAAACTTTAAATAGACAATCCAGTGTGATTGCAACTTATTATACCATGTATTAACACAATTTCGTTTTAATAAAGATTGAGGTGTCATCTTATGTTCCAATTCTGAAGTTCTAACAACAAATGGATCATAGGTATAATATAAAGCTCGTATTACACGTTGACGTAAACCATAAGCTCGATAATTTTCTTCTATACGTAATCTTTCAGGCAACCTCTTGTCTTTTCTGCAATAGAGATTATAAATGCAAAGCCAAAAGGATTCTCGTTTGGTTATGTTATAGGTGGCTTTGCATATACGCGCAAAAGTGCCTATGTCTGCAGGCTCTATAAACACTGATATGAGGTACCAAACAATCTCTGGGTAAAAAACTCCTGGCTCAGTATCACTGTCATCATGAACTTGATGACGATTCTTTGACTTGTTTTTCTTAATATCTACGTCATCAATAGTGCTATCTTCATTTTGTTGCTCTTTTATACAATAATATATAGTAGATTCTGAAAACAAAACGTATTCTTATAAAAATGTTATCGAGTTAGCCTTCACAAAAGTGAAAAGGGTTTTGCTGTGAAACGTACGTTTTGCTTTTTTCTGACCTTTTTTCTTCGGCATTTCTTGTGATATAATCATATATAAGTAAATCTTAATTACCAACTGTATACGTAAACGGTAACGGGTTGAAAATTTTCTTGTAACTTTCATAAATATTTAGAAATAAAAACAAACACAAATTCAATAACCTATCAATACAGTTGAATAAAAATGTAACATTGTCTTTAAGTTGCACAGTTAACGGGGAATAGGTGTAAATGAATTAAATTTAATGAGATTTAATAGCCGCGATACATAACAATAAATATTTCTATTAAATTAAGTATAAACAAGTAAGAATACCCTCGTTTTTAATGTTATTTGCCGAATTGCACAGAACTCGACATACATCTGTAATATTCTGACTGAAGCATTCATCGTTATCTGTGGATTGACGTTTCTAAATCAAGATGGCAGACATGCCGCTTGAACTGCGATACTATAGAATCATAAGATTTTACATTTTAGGTGTGTCTTTTTAGATTTTCGAAGTATAATGTATATCGAAATATTCACTGTAAATTTGTACGACTATATTGATAATGTAAAGCAACATTCTTGTACTTTGTGTGCTACGTTTAGGTAACATTCGTGCCGAAACTATGCTTAAATGGTGACCGAAATATAGTGTTAATAAGTGTATCGAGTACGATAGATATTCGTGTCTGATGTTTAATTAAAATGTGGAATATGATGTGCGACGTGATGCCCACGATATCTGAGGACAGTATTAGTCAGCGGAGTTCGCAGTTCTCAGGCGAAGATGCGAACTTCGAGCAGCTTATGGTGTCTATGCTGGACGAAAGAGATAAACTAGTGGAGAGTTTGCGTGAGACTCAGGAGCGTCTAGGTGACACGGAACTACGACTGAAAGAAGTGGAAAAGGAAAGAGATTCCTTGCACCGTCAAATTGCAGCCAACTTGCCACAGGTCAGTGACTGCAAACTATTTTAAGATTACGTTCATATACAAAATTTACATGTCCTACGACCTTCAATTCAAATATCCATATTGTTAAGACATGTTTAAACTAAGATAATGTTATCAATGTTAATGAACCAAATATGTCTAAAACTTTATAATATATTGGTCTTATTACAATACTCCAAAGGCCGAATTCAGCTTATATGGTGGTTGTATTTTGCAAATACTACCACCTTAAAACCTTACTACTTGACAAATATTTTTTTTAAATAGGCCACTTAGCAGTTCATGGGGGGCCTATGACCAAGGCTATATAGGCCTATGCTGCAAATAACCTGAACTGAACCATAGTAAAATATATTGCAAATAAGTTAACAAACATTTTTTAATATTCAAAGTGTTTTATTATAATACTTGTTCAAACTACGCTTAGTACTTAAATATTTTTTTCAAAAAGAGCAAGTAAACATACATGAAAAAATCTGTATAAGTAAAAGTTAAGGCTGCTAACACACTAGCCCATTTTTTGTGTGTTTAGTTTATATTATTTTTACATTTAATTTAACAATATAACTAAATAATTTATATCTTATACACCCATGTGGCCTCCAAAAATAGAATAACAACTTTATTCAATTTCAAAATATTGTATTGCTTTTAAGGGGTCTAGAACTAATTTAACATTGAGTATATAAGTAAGTGTAGTTATGATCATCATTTAAAAATAACATTCTTAATAAATATTGCCTACAGTACATATATACATAAATCATTTCTTTTATCTATCTTTTAATCTTATAACTCAGATAAAATACCTACTTAAAAATACTTAATATTAATTTAGATTAGTAGTTAAATTTAAGAATAATGGCATTATCTGCCTCTTCTGTAGCCTTTTGTTTTTTTTTACTGATGGTGTGAATGCCTAATGCACGCCCATGTCGGGCAATAGTGACACAAGTAGTGTAGTAAATCTTATAGCCAATCAGAACCTCTGCTGTGCTTTGAGGGAGCTCTAGGAACACGAGCCTCTTCTGTAGTGTAGTACCACAATAGTGTTTAGCCTAAACATGAACGATCTTAAAGGCAACTTCTGAAGATATTTCATCTGTTGTATATAGTGTTTAATGTAACTTCTCATAAATGTGCTTTCTTACTATTTTACACTGGATTTTTCTCTTATGGCATTTCTATGTTTGTTGTTTTTATAAACTTTTGTTGCAGTTTCTTTTCAAAATGTCAAAAGAAGTATGGTAAATAAATGTTTAATCATATTTAAAACACAAATAAAGTAAAAGGCTTGTTATGTTTTCATGGTAAGAATTAACTTTGTAAATAATAGATTAATAGTTAAAAATGAGAATATTGTAGATGTAGGTCCATTCTTTAACAGTATGACTCCATGGTCTAAACTTTAAAGGTCGGCCGTGTATTAAATGCAAGAAGTTTTGAATCTTTTTCTGTCATTCCAGTGTAACATACCGAGGTGTTTTAGCTTGGGTGTGCAGGGGTCTGATCGTTTGTCAGTAAATTGTAATATCTTTGAGGAAAATGAATCACCCTCATGCCTTATAGAAGTACATTTTAAAAGTTAATACTACTTTTATCGCAATTATTTGAATATCTATAAGCAGGTCACAAACCCAATTTGTCCTCAATAGCAGTTTCATTGGTAATGAGTGTCGTGAGAAGACACGGCTGACTGACGCTTGACGATGACAATATTATATATGTATATATTATATTGTACATATAACTAAAATGGTATGGTTTGGGATACGAGTTTTTAATATTGATGAAGTTAAAGTAACTAAAAGATTTAGAATTATTTAATGGAAACCCTCATATATCAACAACATTAACAAGAAGATGAAAAACAAAAAATATTTAAGTTAAAAAAAGTGGCATATATAAAATAAAAATATTTATTTGATTGCAAGGGATAACGTTAGAAATAGCGAGCATCAAGTCCAAAATATAATAGTTCTTTGTAGGACATTTTCATAGTTGACAGGAAGCGTGGCTCGTTTGTAATTTCCCTACTAATTCACAGCGCCCCAGAATCCGGGACGGCATTGTAAAAGAATATAATCAGAATATGACAACGCATAAAAGGACGGGAATAGCGCATAAAGAGGAGCGTCCTAATTAAAAAAATATATCTTGTGATGTGACGCGATAACGCGTTTTTATTCCGACATCAGTAACATAATTATGTGCCTACTACTCGTACATAAATATAGTATGGAAGTACACTGGAGTGCCGATTATCCGAATAATTCAATGGACTGTATTTTAATTAAATAAAATCTAAAATTTATCAGTTATGCATGGCGTTTAACATGTCATGTACTATTCGTGTATTAAATTATTTTAAGCGTTAATATATTTCTGTTTTGTAATTTTCCGTTAATATGTCTTTTCATCATCGTGTTTTAATATACACTTACGACCTTACAAATTTAAAAATTATCCGACCTCCCATATATCTCCCACTTAACAGAATACTTGCATATATAATAAAGCAATGTTAAATTTATTCCTCGCATAGAGTTTTTATTAGTCTTTCTTTAAAGTATTTATATCATGCCTAACAATGCTTATGAGATGTTCAAGTTTAATATAAGGAGGGCTTTCAGCGGCAGTCCGTGTGGCGACCCACGTGAATTAATGAATTCCTACTTGACTTTCTGGAGCTAACATTAGAAGGATGATTTAATCTTGGTAATTATTTCTTTATGAACAAACATAAACAGAATTTCAATATCCTGACCTTTCGTTTTATACACCTATAGTTTTCCTCAGGCGAAGAATTTGTTTCTGAAATATTACAAATTGATTTAAAAAGATATAGGACTCGGTGCGAATCGAACCCACGACTCCTATTATCCGACGGGCCGATTAAACAATTTTTTTACTGATAAGGTTTTTACAATCCAAGCGATGTGTGTTTGTCTTAGCGTTACATCTAGGTAAGAATTTGGTAAATATCCTTATCGTAATCTCATGTAACATAATACTTAGGCACGTAGGTACATGTAATATAAACTTAGTTACGACAAGAAAACAGGTAGTTTGGTAGCGATACCTGATTGTATGGGTTTTAGAAAGAATTGTAGAAAAATGAGGATGGGTTCGTGAGTTTATCAACCTACGTAATACTTCGCTCTGAGAAATATCGATTCAGCTATATTTAAACCGTCTATCCAGTGGATCCCTAATTCATCTTAATGCATTTAATTAAATCATATAAGTGGTGGTCTGGTGTTTTGTTATGAACAATTAAGTTTAAAAGACGTCTTGAACGTCATATTATGTTCTATTTAATAACCATTTTTTTTTAATTTAAGTAGTTTTCCATCGAGTTGAATCAAACCTAATTTTGCGACTTGTGAAATGCTATTAGAGTAATTTTGTAATATTTATGATGTCAGTTATAAATAAATTTCACACGATTTATGCGAAAGTGTAACTGTACAATGCGCGCGCAAAACTATACAATTTAATACTTTACCTAAAGGTCCAGTACTTAACTCATATTGGTGTATATTATATCTGTGTACCTATATCTTTGACGTATTATGGTTACAATTACAGATAATATGTACCTAACTAGACATATTATGATGTATTGCGGTAAATGTTGAGGTTACGTGGCAGCAAGTAGGATGCTCAATTCCATTGTGGTATGTGTCTGAAAATTATCTATGATTTGTTTTTTTTTCTTATTACTTAACAATTTACGTCGTAGTAAAAACCAAAAAATATTTAAATACTATTTTAATTTTTTTGAAATACCGATAAGCCTAAACTCTAAACTAAATTGATTGTAACGTACCTTGCTGGCCAAGTTCGCGTTACGAATTTAATTATGTTGAGGAATTTTTATTCTTGGGCACATCGCGCTCTTTCGTACCGGAATTTTAAAAGTTTTTTTACAACTTTATAATATTGGAGTAATTAAGATCTTGTTATCCTTCTCTCTTTGTATATTAAAAAAAAAGTTTATTTTTGTTTAAGACTAAACAAGAATAACAAGATATTAAGTAACTGTTAATTTACTTGTTTCGTTTTGTTGTCTTGTCGATTTATAATATTCTTACATCTCCGTCCCAAACACAATCGTATCTAGCGGGAAGCTTTGGAACTAAATGAACGCAGTGAAACCAGTTCCCTAAAACACAGAGTTTCGCCACCCTTCGATAGAGGGCGTTTGCTGAGTTAAAGAGAAGTTATGTTTAATTTTTTGCTCTCGCAAACTGCGAAAAAAAAAATAATAAAAAAATCTTTCTCTGCATCCAAGAATGAAATCATACGCCGCGGATTTATACAATATTAGAAAAAAACGTAAGTTTATTGATTCTGCGGAAACGAGGCATTAACTATCCAAACACCTCGAAATAGGTGGACATCTGGTTACGCTATTTTTATAGATACGAATCCTATAACATAAACTAGGGCATGTGCATATATTTTAAAACATTGAAAACAAAATACATACATTACATACATTTTGAAACGTGTTGTTTCATTGTGTTCTTCTCTTCCAGTGCGTGCATTTTTTCTTTTAGATGAACTTGTTACCTGATCAACTGAGGGCCCTTAACCAATTAAAGCGCGTGTGTCTTTTGAAGACTCTTTGGTCTTTACGTTACTACGTGGTGGGTTCGATCCCCAACTGTTTCTGATCAATATAAGTATAATTTTCTGAAACGCATTGCATTCGTCTGGAAATGTGGATGTTAAATGGGGAGTGGGAATATGAAAATTCTGTCTAGGTCCAAAGCCAACATACGTTGACAACGCATCGCGTCGAGATATGGCCGGGAGGTTTTTATCTTTCCTTACATCAACCCCACGCGTGTCTGTTCTCTTCTTTCATAACAAAAAAAAACATCCTTCCAATGACATTGTCTTCTGTAAAAATCATCTTCATTATCGGCGGTCGATTAGATTCTCTGGAGTAACAAAAATACGAATTAAGCGCGTGGGCTCCTCTCATCTAA